AGAGATAGAAAGAAAGAGAGAGAAAGAGAAAACACATGCCAACAGGGCGTTGTCAGACCGTAATCCTTTCTCCTCCATTGTTCCATCCTGTCAGGATTTTGGGCATGCGCACACACATGCACCCAGTATGAGTTTAGCCATGTGAAATCCAGCTCTCTTAACCACTAAACTATGGAGTTGGACCAGTTTTTCATTATTTTAAAAGGAAAAACAGGAGCCAGCAGGTGTTATAGTAGTTAAGGTGTTGGACTCCCACATGGCCAATTGTGGTTTGAGTCCTGGACCCCGAGGCTTGAAACTCATGCTGGGTACATGTTTGTGCATGCCCAAAATTCTGAGAGTAGAATGGCAGAGAACGGACTGTGGCATGTCCATCCTCCTGTGGGGTGATTTCTCACTTTCTCTCTCTCCGTCTGTCCAGCAAGTGCAAATGCCTTATAGCAAAAATATCTCTCTAAAAAAAAGAAAGAAAACAAAAAAGAAAAAAAAACTTAGCTGCATTTTGTGGCATAATTTTCTTCTAGTTCCCTTCTCATCTTCTCTGAATCAAGTCTGAATGTGCAGACATCACTGTGTGTCGGGAGGAAGAAAAGTGGTGATTTTAAAGGCAGGGGACTCGGGTTCTTGTTTGGGGCCTGTCATTACCTTAGAGGCCGTGGCTTAGTACTGTTGTCAGAGCTGTGGGAGCCCAATACAGGGAAGCAGACAGAGACATTCCATCGCTGTAGCTGTATTCGCACACTGAAATGCATAGAAGCCTTCCAATCAATACTAAAAAGACAACAGCCCTGTAAAAAATCAGCTTGAACAGGCACTTCACAGTTGAGGCCATCTGAATGGTCAATAAACCAATAAGGTGCTCAATATCGTGCTTATTAGGGAAAAGGGTTATAAAATAACAATGAGATGGCACTACACAGTCATCCCAATGGTGAGAGATGGCTTCCGTGCTGCAATCCTCCAGCCTCCATTGGCTTTTGCCATAGGGTGGGTGCCACCAAGCCCCAATGGTGAAAATTGAAGAGTGATGTAAGAATGTAATTGTGGGATCAGCAGTTAGCGTAATGGCTATGTCGCTGGACTTCCATGTAGCTGATTGTGGTTCGAGTCCCAGACCCGGTGGCTTAAACTCTCGCCGGGCACGTGTGCATGCGTGCCCAAGATCCTGAGAGGAGAGTGGAGGAGAAGGGATTGTGGCATGGCCATCCCCCCTGGGGGGTGATTTCTTGCTTTCTGTCTCTCTGTCTTTCTGAAGAGTGCACATGTCCTATAGAAAAAAACCTCTTGGAAAAAAAAATGTAATTGTAAGAATGATGTAAACACTTAAAGAAGTACTTGTAAAGATGTTAGGCAACCAGGGCCAGCCTATGACATGGTGTTTAGGATGGCTGGATCCCACATGTCTAACTGCATGGTTTGTGTCCTGAACCTGGTGGCTTGGCAAACATGCCGGGCATGTGAGGGTGCACGCCCAGAATCCTGAAAGGAGAGAGAAATGGGGGAGAGGGGATTGCAGTGTGATCATTCCCGTTGGGGGATGCTTTCTCATGTTCCTATTCTCTTTCTGTCTCTGTGTCTCTCTTTGGCAAGCTCAGGCACCCTCTGGAAAAATTGAAGAGACTAGGCTTATTACTGATAGAAGTTAAATTCCTTTTTAAAAGTAGTTTTATTTTTTTTTCCCCATAGGGTGTGTACACTTGCCGAGAAAGACACAGAGACAGTAAGAGGGAAAGTGAGAAGTCACCTCCTGGGGGGGCGGGAGGTGGCCACACCACCATCCCTTCTCCTCTCGGGATCTTGGGCATGCACGTACACATGCCTGGTGTGAGTTTAAGCCACTGGGTCTGGGACTCAAACCGCGGTTGACTACATGGGAATCCAGTGACATAGCCATTACGCCAACTGCTGGATATTTTAAACATAAAGATAATGTACTGGAACGGTATCTGGGCATCACACGACAGGCTTAGAATATGGCCAAATATCTGGGGAGCTCTGAAGGGCCATGCTGCAGGGCTGTGGTCCCGAAAGCTTGTTGGTCTAAGACAAAGGGAGACCCCATTTTCACTGCTATGGTGATGTCATTCACTCAAGTCACATTCTGGAGGAAAGACATCTGATTTGCTAAGCCTAAACTCTGGACCCTCCCAAGGTTGCTCTGGGATATAGAGAGCGATGACTGACATCTTGGCTTCTTCTGAAGGGCTGGCGACTATCTGTAAGGCTACACCCAGCAAAGCCTCAGGATGTATGCCATGGCGTTTACTTGTGACAGTTTAGCACTCTTATTTGTTTTATGTGTGAATTTTCTTTTTTGGGGGGGTCAAGGGGGAGAGATTTTTGTTATAGCATGTGTGTGCTTGCCAGAGAGAGACAGAGAGACAGAAAACGAGAAGTCATCCCCCAGGGGTGATGGCCATGCCACAATCCCTTCTCCTCCATTCCTCTCCTGGGATCTTGGGCATGCACACTGTGAGTTTCAAGCCACCGGGTCCGGGATTTGAACCTCACTTGACTACTTGGGAGTCCAGCAACATAACCATTACGCCATTTGTTACTGGTCCTATATGTGTGGGTTTTCAGCAAAAATAATTTTAAATGTTCCAGTCCTCTCTGAACGCTGAAGAACTTTGTATGCCTGCTTTTTGCCCCCATTGTCTATGTTAGAGCACCACCTCCCTCCAGAAGGTGTGGTCATGGTAGGGGAAAAAAAAAGAAAAGAAAAATAAGTGTTGGAATTTTTAGCCTTTTTGGAGTTGTGGACACTCTTGAAACCTGGTGGAAGAATATTTGCTTTCCCCTTCACCTAGTTTCCTTTTTAATTTTATCGCATTTATACTATTTTATGAGTTTTCACACCACTGTTAGCTCTTTTTGAATAAGAGATGAGTTTATTTTATTTTTTGTAGAGGTTTTTGACTTAGGGTGTGTGTGCTCACTAGAGACAAAGACAGTGAAAGGGAAAGTGAGAAATCACACTGCTCTTCCTCCCGGGGTGCCACAATCCCATTTCCTTCATTCTCCTCCTGGGATGTTGGGCATGCATGCACACACGTCCAGCGTGAGTTTCAAGCCACTGGGTCCAGGACTCGAACCGTAGTCACCCATGTGGGAGTCCAGTGACATAACCGTGATGCCATTCGCTGCCCCAAGAGATGGGTTTAACTGAGCACAGATCACTAGCCTGGCATCATGGAATCACTCTATACATAACCAAAAGGCCTAGCTAAAGCATAGGGCCCTAGCAGGCTGGCCTTGTGGACTCATGGTGATCTCTGGTTTTGCCTTTTTTCTGAAATTTGGGAGAGTAGACTTTGGAGAGGACCCTGAGCAGGCAGGGCATCCCTGCTTAGCATTTAAGTGCAGATTTTCAGGTGTTCCCTCCAGGCTCATCCCTGGAGAAAGGAGATCCCGAGGCTCAGCTTCCATTCTCTCTTCTTAGTGCAGAAAGACAAGGTCTTGATGAAGATCTGTGGCTTCTGCCCCAGGGCAGGGATACCCTAGTGGATGGAATAATGCTGACCAGCAGGCAGCTGGATTTGGGGGCCCTATGGTGGTGAGAGCAGTAGTGCTTGGCATGTGAGATCTTGGGGTGACACCGATCTTGATTCCTTAATGCCCCTGACTATAGAGCCACAAACGTGACTTGGTAACTAGGAACATTATAACTTTAAGCCATAAGAAGAGTTTTGAAGGTCTTGCTGTTCCAGGGGGCCCAGCTGGATTCTTTTTCTGTTTTATTTTGGTCAGAGGGCACATGCACTTATTGAAGAGAGACAGAAAGACAGCAGGAAGGGGAGAAGGCACCCACAATGGGGCATGGTCATGCTGTAATCGCCTTTTTATTTTTCCATCCTGTTGGGATTTGGGGCATGTATGCAATGTGCGCCTAGTGTGTTTTAAAAGCCACTGGGTCTGGGATTTGAACCTTGTGGTTGACCATTTGGGATCCTGCTCCCTTAACCACCAAAGCAGTGGGCCAGCTCCCTAGCTAGATTCTTCTTCTTCCTCTTCTTCAACTAGAGAGTGCGTGTACTTGCCAGAGAGACAGAGAAAAAGGGAGAAGAGAAAGCACCCCTTGTGGGGAATAGCCACACCTCAATTCCTTCTCCTCCATCTCTCCTTCCTTGTAGGATTTTGGGCATGTGTGCATATGCACCAAGTATGTTCCTCTATTCACTGGGTCTGGGACTCAGACCACACAGTTGGCCATGTGAGATCCAGCTGCCTTAATCACAAAGTTGGCCCACAGTTGAATTCTTGACTCCTTATTGGAACCACAGTTCAGCTACATTCTTATACTTCTTAATTGCGAGGTGGCCCAGTTTAACAGGAATGACAATGGGTCAAGACTGTCTAGGTGTAAATCTAGTACTAACAAATTCTTACTAGTATGTCCTTGGACAAATGTGGGAAACCACAGATTTTATTGTGAGGATTGACTTGATAAATGTAAATGACTTAAATGAGTGATGGCACATGGTAAGCTATTATTATTATTTAGAGAGGTTTTTGCTATAGAGTGCATGTGCTCTCCACAGAGACAGGGTAAGTGAGAAATCAATCACCCAGGGGAAATGGCCATGCCACAATCCCTTTTCTTCTTGGGATTGAGCATGCATGTATATGTGCCCTGTGGGGGTTTCAAACTGCTGGGTCCGGGTCTCAAACTGTGGTAGACCATGTGAGAGTCCGGTGCTTCAACTATCGTGCCACCCGCTGGCCCCAATAAGCTATTGTTTTTATGGTCATAATATATCAGACTCTCAGGTCTATGGGCTTGTATTAATCAGGTGAATTTGAATTTGAAACAGGAATTAGTGATTGAAGATGGGGGCACAGAAAAAAGAGGAGATGCATTTCACTTTAGTGTTCCCATTAAAAGATATGTCTGGCATTTGGTCAGTAAATTGGTCAGGGTCTGGTTGCATATTGCATTGACCAGCTCTCATGGATCCTTACACAGATTGGGAGTTCAGACCATTCACATAGCCTTTTAATCAGACTCATGAGGTTTATTGGTCCCATGGCTCTTTGGCTTGTGGGGGTATATTTACTGTCTGTTTTTTACAACAAGACAATATGTTGTGACAGAATGCAATCCAGGTCCATCCCGGTGTGCAACCGAAGAAACACTTGCCCTCGAGGGCAACGCAAGTTCGAATGTCTACTCCATCATTCCCAAACATACCATTCCCTGAAGGAAAAAAAAAATACACACATACAGGAAAGGAAAATCAATCTTCAAGAGGCTGGGAGAACTCCCAGGCCTGTCTTCTCTCCCCAGTGGATGGCTTTTTATTCTGTGACTTACCTTACAGACCCCATCCTCTAACCTATCACATCTCAGCCAGGCTGCTGAGTCAAAGGCTAACCATAGGAATTTGAGGAGAAATAGAAGTTTGGATGGCAGATTTATTTGGATGGTACAATTAGTGTGGCATGAAAATGGCCCCCTTTTCTCAAGTTTTGGGAAACCTTTAGGATTAGCAACAGATGAGGAGGGCAGAGTCTGAAGACCACGGAAGACCATTCACCCACATTCCATTCCTCGCTTGCTGGTCCATCTGATATTGGTGTCTTTTCTGTTGGGTTTATCCCCATAGGACTTTTCAAGGACCCCAGGTTTTTGGAGACTTTCATTTTCATACTCAAACCTACACCCACTATCTTACCTGAAGGCAATGTGGTCACCAGGAAGAAGAGTAATCCAGAAAAGTAGAGGCTCATGGCTAAGGAGGGCCAAGAGTTGGAAATTCCAGGGGTGGCTGTCTGGGACGCTCCTTTATAGATGGGTTGGATGCACTTGGATGGGTGGGGCTGTAGACTGACTTCACTCTTCCTGCAAGGGCAGACACAGAAGATCAAAAGCTTCTGCAGGGTTAGAGGAAGAAGAGTCCCTGGGGCATGCAGAGCTGCCTCTTGTTCTGTGAATCACAGGGGATAAAGTCACTCAGTTAAGGCTGAAATATTTCTATCTGAAGAACAGGACCAAAGACAGGATTCTTGCACCCATGCCCAAACACTTTCCTTCTCACTTCGAATGTACATTGATATAAGCATGGCAGGGCAAAGGAACTTTCCTCCTGAGACCAAATTTTCCTTTGAGAGACTTTTGCTATAGGGTGTGTGTACTCACCAAAGAGACAGAGAAATAGAGAGATAGAAAGCAAGAAATCATCCCCCAAGGGGGATGACCATGGTGCAGTCCCTTCTCCTCCATTCTTCTCTTGAGATTTTTGGCGTGCATGCACATGTGCCGAGCATGAGTTTTAAGCTGCCGGGTCTAGGACTTGAACCACAGTTGGTCATGTGGGAGTCCAGCAACATAGCCATTATGCCATCTGCTAGTCCCGAGAAGCAATGTTTTTAAAACACAGGCTTAACTTAAGACTGGAAAGGATGTAAGCAAGAACTTCATACAGTGCTCCAGGAAACAAAGCGTCTCAAAGTATGAAATGCTGGCACAACCCAGAGTAGGTGAGTGCTCATAAATAGTGAAGAATGGACAGCTCTGTCTTCTGGAGGCCAATTTATTTACCTGGTTGGAGGAAGATACTGCAAGAATGTTCCCAGAAAAGTTCACTGATGGGCTTTGTTTTCCAGATGGCTGGTGTAACATGTTGGCTAGGATTTGGGAACTTGGAAGGTTCTGGGGTAGAGGTTGGCTTTTTAAAGTTAACCTGTGGTCTCTCATAAAAAGAGCCAGTTCAGTGTTGTATTCAAGGTTGGATGCTCAGTGTCAGAAGTGGAGCTGGACAACACTTCCCTGGAGCTACATAGATGCAGCTCTAAGGTCATTAGGCATGTCCCCCTTGAGGGTACTCATGGTTGACTACAAGTGGAGAGGATGCTAACTTCGATTTTATTGTGCCCCTCAAGGCAGTCTTGTACCCAAGTGGCCCCTGACCGTAGGGTTCTGAGTTTGTAATGTGGCAGCAGAGCATAGCTGTATTGGTTACGCTTTGCAGACACACAGCCCTGATGCCTTATTTAGCATCTCTGACCCTCCGGCTCTTCTGAAAAAGTACATCGTAAGGGGGATTTTTAAGGATGAAATGAGATAAAGCTTATGACACGCTTTGCACTCGTGCTGGTATGCATTAGGGATGCTTTGTTATCATTACATTCTACCATTGTAGCTGTGTTCCTTAATCCTTGGTAGACCTTTTCAAATGCCTTCTTAGTGAAGGCAAAGTATTGCTGAGAGAAGTTCATTTTGGGTCCCAACAACATTTGTAGAGCTGAGACCACTCAGCTGGAGATTAGAATTGGAGTGATGGTGAGAGAACAGGTTAGTGGGATGGGTGTAGGGCAGTGCTCAGTGCTGGTTTGGACTGAGGATTCCCTTGCTTGACCCCATAGAAAACTCCCAGGAGACCCTGCATTGAACATGTGGTCCCTGCCCATAGAGATCAACTCTGATTCTGACTGGCTACACAGACACGGCCCAAGCTCAGTGGGGCTATCTCATTCTCCAGAGAGGGAGAAATCAATGCTGGAAGAGCTGAGTGGGCTTGCACAAAGAAAGGAAGCATTCTGCAGGCTGGGCTAGGTTAAGTACTCAGGTTCCCCGATCCTTGGTTCAGAATTCTGTCCTCTGTGTTAAGTGGTCTAGCTGTGTATTAAGGAATATGAGACATCCGACCCTAACATTTTCTAAATGCATCTGAGCCCCCTCCTTATCGCAGTTCGAGAAAGCAGATTTCAAATGCTTGGAGCTCAGCATGTGCTCAGGATGGGCCTTTTTTCCACACCCATGCAGGCCCTTGCCAATAAGCCTGACCTTGCCTTTGGCAGTGCCTCTCCTGGCGTGCAGAGTGTTCCCAACACCTGCCTGAAGCCTTGGTGGGAAAAGTTGCCTAGGAAATGAAATCTGCTTCATTTCTGCCCTTTCAGGTTGCTGTTTTCTTCCTGTACTTTCATTTTCCTAGAATTCTTGTGCTCTCAGCAAAGGACACAGTAACAAGTGTGAACCGACAACCCTCAGAATGGGAAAATATTTTTGTTAAATATGCCTCAGACAAGGGACTGATAACCAGAATACATAGGGAACTCAAGTGCCTTATGCGAAAAAAAATGATTAACCCGATTAAAAGATGGGAAAGTGAGCTGAACAAAAGTCTCTCTAAGGAAGACATACGAACAGCCAAAAAGCATATGAGGAAATGCTCGACATCCCTCATCATAAGGGAAATGCAGATAAAAACCACAATGAGATATCACCTAACCCCTGTCAGAATGGAAAAGATTAAGAATATAAAAAGTGATAAGTGTTGGCGGGGATGTGGTGAAAAGGGAACCCTCCTACACTGTTGGTGGGAATGTAAACTAGTTCAACCACTGTGGAGAACAATATGGAGGTTCCTCAAAGATCTACAAATAGAACTACCATTTGATCCAGCAATCCCACTTCTGGGTATTTACCCAAAAGACAGGAGAACGCTCAGTCAGAAAAGTGCTTGCACATCCATGTTTATTGCAGCATTATTCACAATTGCCAAGACATGGAACCAACCTAAATGTCCACAAACTGATGAATGGATTGGAAAAGTGTGGTATATATACTCTATGGAATACTACTCAGCCATAAAAAATAACAAGACCCTGGAATTTGATAGAAAATGGTCAGATATGGAGGATCTATTGCTGAGTGAAGTAAGCCAGGCTATGAAAGAAAGATATTGTATGTATCCACTCAATATATACCGACTATCCGCACTCTATAATAGAGAGCAAAAATTCGGAGGACATAAACACAGTGAAGGTACTTAATGAGAATAGGACAGTGTGGAATGGGGTAAGTGAAGAGAAGAGGATAGAGAAAGATAGCAAGTGAACAATAGAGAGACAGGACGTTAGTGAGAAACAGATAGGGGTTATTAACTGTTGATGATGACATGTATAGTATTCTCAACTGGATTGGTCTGAGAAGTATTTCATGATGGGCAAAGTATTTTTACAAGCAAAATGAGAAATAGCAATTGACTGTTTTATAAAAATAATTAGAATAATAAAAATAATGATTGGGGAAAACAGAAAAGATATGGAATGTTAAAGTGGGGAGATTAATGTCTCTGTACTGACTGACATGCATGGCATTCCCTTTTGAAAAAACAATGTAATACACTGAAAAGTTATATGTAATCCAATGTAATATAAAGAAGATTATGATGATAATAAAAAAAAAATTAAAAAAAACCACTTTGGTATCTCCTCAACATGTCAGATGGTTAATATAAGACCCTCAAGTTCTACTCCTGTGTTTATATTCAAGAGAATCAAAAACTTATGCCCATACAAAAATGTACACATGAATAGTCACGGTACCATTATTTAAAATGTCAGAAAGTTAGAAACAACCAAAATTTGTATCAGATAATAAATAAATGAACAAAATTTGAAAAAAAAAAAAGAATTCTTGTGCTCTTCCAGAAGAAAGCATGCAATCTAAACCTACTCACCCTAATGGACTACATATTGAAGAAGAAGCCCCCTCACTTCTCTTTTCAACTTCCTTATTCATGGGTCAGATAGTGCTTGTGTACAAGTCACTTCCTGTTCATTTTTCTCCATGCACAAGTTAATTCTTTCCTGTAGCTTTTGCCTTAAAACTCTAAAAATAAATTCTTGATAAAAGGTTCAGTTTTGCACATAAAAAATTAAGAAATCATAGCTTTATTGGTGACTTCACAGAAAGCAAACACTGTGTAAACACCACCCAGATCAAGACAACAGAATATTTCTAGCACCAGTAGGTCTTGGTGTGACCCGCAGGAATCACAGCTGACTCCCAACCGATGGAGGACCCACTTCTCTGACTTGGAAAGTCATCATGATGTTGTGTCACTTGCTTCTTGCTTCGAAATCCGCATCACTGAACAATGTGGTTTAATTTGCCCTTTATTGACCTACATAAAAATGGCAGCACAAATATTTGCGGCTCGCTTTCTACATTCTTTTTCTTTCTAGTTTTGCTATAAGGATGCATGCTTCCTGGAGAGAGGTAGAGAGAGGAAGAGTGAGAAAAGTGAGAACCTCCCCCCCGCCCATGCGCAGATGACCACACCACAATCCCTTCGCCCCCATTCTTCTTTCAGGATTTTAGGCACACATGCACATTTGCTCAGCATGTTCTTCAAGCTACCATGTCTGGGATTTGAACTCTGTTGTTGGCCATGGGATCCAGCCACCTTAACTCTACTGGCTGGCCCACTTTCTGCATTCTTTACTGTATTCATTTACGATGTATCCATGTTTTTTTATTTCTTTAAAGAATTGTTTGAGTTTATTTATTATTTTTTTCTAATTTGACCAGCTAGAGATGAGAGAAAGAGAGAGAGAAAGTGAGAACGTAAGCTGCCAAGTCCAGGACTTGAACCATGGTTGGCTATGTGGGAGTCCAACCACATAACCACATAGCCAGTCTTAACCACACCACCACCTGCTGGTTCCATGTTTTTGTATGCAGTATTGGTTATATTTTATTGCAATATATTGATTATTTAATATATTTACTACCACTGACAAGTATGAGGGGTCTTCAAAAAGTTTATGGAAAATATGTATTATGAAAAACTGCACTGATTTTAAAAATACCTTTATACCAAAATAAACTTATACTTTAATAACATTTTCCACAGACTTTAATTTTAAAAAAATTGCCAGAGGGGCCAGCAGGTGGTACGAAGGTTATGGATCCTACATGGTCAACTGCGCTCTTTAAGTCCTGGACCCGGAGGCTTGGACATCAGAACAGGTGCATGTGCCCCACATCTTACGGGGACTAGAAGAGAAGCAGCATGGCCACTCCCTTTAGTGGGTGATTTCTCACTGTCCCTCTTTTTCTCTCTTTCTGAAGAGTATACACATCTTATGGCAAAACTTAAAAATATTTTTTTTCCAGAGGGCTCTTGCACTTGCTGGAGGAGACAGAGAGACAGAAAGAGGGGGAGAAAGTGCCCTCTAATGGGGTAGTCATGCTGCAATTCCTTCTCCGTTCCCTCATTCTGCCTGGATTTTGGACACATACATGCTTCCCACCTGCTTTTCTAGCTGCTCATGTTTTTGGCCAACTAAGTCTGGCTGCTTGTACTCATAGTCAGTGAAACAAGAGGCAGGGTCTGGAGAAGAAAGGAGCTTAATTCTGCAGCTAGGTTACAGGGAGACGGTCAGTAAGCACCACTGAACTGCCTTAAAAAGCTCAGCATGCGATCAGTATTTATAGATATGAACACACCCAAATAATTTCTCACTACAATCAATCAAAGTCAATCACTTTCCTTTGAGCAATTACTCTGATTCTTATTTTTCTTCAAAACCCATTCTTGGTTTCTCATTTGACAATTCCTCAGACAGAACTCCCCATGACTCAGCACTTGGTCAGATTGTTCTCATCAGAGGACTTTCTTCCTTCCTTTTTTGTTTCTTTTCTTCTTTTTCTTTTTTTTCTTTTTGTTTAAGAGAGACTTTTGCTACAGGGTGCATACTCTAGCCTGAAAGATAGAGAGAGAGACAGAGAGACAAAAAGTGAGAAATGATCCTCCATGAGGGATGGCCAGGCTGCAGTCTCTTCTCCTCTAGTCTCATATTGAGATTTTGGGCACACACACATGCCCGGTATGATTCTCAAGTCATGGGGTCCAGGACTTGAACTGTGATTGGCCATGTGGGAGTCCAGTGACATAACCATTATGCCATTTGCTGGCCTCCAGAGGCCTTTCTTAATTTTAGAGTGGTTACAGTCCTACTGGACCTCAAGATGGCCTGCCTTAGTGGGGCTGAAGTTCAAATTGCCATCAGTCATGTGAGATTTGGCTCCCTTATCCACTAGGCTATACATCTGGCTCACTATTTTACTTTCTTTTAGTTCTCCTCCTCCTCCACCACCTGTTCCTTCTTCTTTATTTTAGTTTTTTCTATAGGGTGTGTATGCTTACCAAAGAGAGACAGAGAGGGAAAAGTGAGAGATCACCTCTTCCCATAGAGGGGATGGCCATGCTGCCACAATCCTTTTTTCCTCCATTCCTCTTTCCCATGAGAATATTGGACATGTAATACATGTGTTTGGCATGTTTACCAAACTTATGGGATGGGATTAAAATTGTGGTAGGCCACATAGGTTCTGGCACCCTATGCATAGGGATTAAATAGTGCACTACAGAGTGGTCTGAGCTTGAAACACTGAAAACTGTCAGGCATCATTGATTGTCAGTCTCTCAAGATAAAAATTTTGATCATAAATTTTTTGCATATACCGTATATGTACCTAACATGTAGCAGGTCCTCATTGGGAGCCACAGTAATTATGGGCCCTCCAGACTCATGCTGGTGGTGTTAGGGGGATTTGTGCATGTGCTTTGGGGAGCTCTTATTTGCCTGATGAAATTGAAGCTACCCTAAATTTGGGCCAGGCATACATTAAATCTTCTATATCTAGGAGTCAGGAAAACCTTATGTAAGTTGTGTTGCTGCCATTTATGGTCTATGTGAACTTGGGAGAGTCATTTGTTCCACCTGAGGCTTGTGTTCCTCATTTTTCAAATGGGGAGAATAATACTTACCTGGAATTTGTGTGTGTGAGGAATTGAAAACAACTATCAAAGGGGCCAGCGGGTGGGGCGGTGGTTAAGGCGCTGGATTCTGACAAGGTTGACCATGGTTTGCATCCCAGACCTGGTGACTTGCTTTCCCATTTTCTCTCTCTCACGTACCATATAACAAATTAAAATAAGTAAATTATTAAATAAATAAGTACAATTAAGTAAATAATTCTTTAGAAAAGAAAAGAATGATAAAAAACTTTGTCAAATATATATAAGGTTTCATTATGATACTCTACACACTATAGGAATTTATTTATTTATTAAATACTTATTTAATTTTATTTATTATTATTTTAAAATTTGACCAGAGAGAGACACACACACAGAAAGGGAAAGTGAGAAAACAAGCCACCATGTCTGGGATTCAAACCGTGATCAGCCATGTGGGAGTCCAGCACCCTAAATGTCCCACTACAGGCATTTATTAAATGGGTATACAATTAAGATCCAAAGACACCTACACAGCATCTTACCAGGGTCTTGGATAGAGCTGTTTGCACCAGGTGAATTCAGTTGCTAGCACAGACAGGCACCTGGAAAGTGTGTTTTAATGGTGAGAGGTCATGTTCAAAGTCACAGCTTTTGCTTATTGGACTGCTCAGTGGAGCAAGCAGATGTTCTTGTTCCAAAAGGTTCACTAGCCATGCAGCTCCCCATCTCTGGAAAGCTACATATAGAGTTACTCTTCCTTGCAACTCAGTGGCCTCTTTGTTGATTGGCTTGGTCATGAAGAGCTTACTCTTGGTCGTTGTGGTCCTTGTCTTGCTCTCCTATGTTCCACCAGGTAAAATGGAACTCCTTCCTGTAGAATCGGGATCAGTGAAGGGGAAAGTGTGTGTGAGGTTCTGTTAGAGTGAGAATAAAGCAGGATACAGACAGAGGAAGTTAAATGGGGAGGGATATGAGCAGAGATGGATGCTCTGAGTTGTTCTAGAGAACAGAGAAGATGCTCAGAATGTGTAAGAGGAAGTAGCTTTCTTCAGAGAAGAAGCCAGTTCTGGATTTTGGTCTGGGAATCCATGGAGTTTGAGGAGAAGTTAGACTGATGGTTTTTGGCAGAAATGGGACAGATGAAACCTTCAGAGGACAGGTGAGACTTAAGTGCAGGAGAGTGGGCAGGAAGGAGAGAGTCTATTCCTTGAGGACTTTTAGAACTTGTCCCCTTCTTACTGCTCCCCGATCAACTGCCTGTTTCGCTATTCACTTGTTTAGACACCAAGGCAAATTCTATGCTAAGCAGAATTCAGAGAGGGCTGTTTTTCCAAATGTATTAACTTATAGCATGATGGGGATCCTCTGGAACAAAAGTTTGAGGGGTCAGAATTTATATTCTCTAGGCAGAAGTTAGTAACTTGATACTATCAAGAATCCACTAAAGACACTAAGTAGCCGTTTTCACAATAGTTCCCCTTGAGGTTTTCTGGGGGTTTGTAGAAAACTCCTACGCCAGCCCCAGACCTTCATATTCAAACGGTATTACTGAAGGGCAAGTGTGAAGTATTTAAAAGATAGACATAGATGAGAATCATGTTGAGACTGCTGCAACCGTCCTGGATTATGAGACTTCCAGACACTTAGCATTATATTTCTACTGGCCTCCTTTATTCTGGGACAGGTGACCTCAGGGCTAGCAGGCACTTAGCAGACTAATTTGCTTGTTAATGGCCCTTGGTCACATCACATTGATTATTTTCAAACCACAAAGGTCAAATTCCTGGTTTCCTGGGGGCAACTAGGTGAAGAGACTAAGATTTAGCAAGCAAATGTGCATGATTCAGTAGGGTGACTCAGAGCTTTACTCACTCTCTTGTTTTAGGGAGATTTTTGCTATAGGACTTGTGCTCTCACTTGGAGAGACTGAGAGACAGAAAGCAAGAAATCACCCCATGGGGAGATGACCACACTGCAATCCCTTCTCCTCCAGTCTCCTCTCACGATTTTGGGCATGCATACACATGTGCCCGATGTGAGTTTTAAAGCACCAGTTTCCAAAACTTGAACCTTGGTAGGTCATGTGGGAGTTCAGCGATGTAACCACTATGCCATCTGCTGACCCCCAACACTCGCTCTCTTAAACTATCTTCCTGCCACCCTTTCCCTGTCCTTGGCTTCAGATGGACCCAGGTCTTAAGGTCTAGAAAAGTTACCAGCAAGAGGCTTAGGTCTGTGTTTCAGATATTTCAAACCATTTCACACTCATCATCCCATGGGATTTTTTTTTTTTGTGTGTGTGTGTGTGTGTGTTTTCTCCCCCATAGGGTGCATGAGCTCACCAGAGAAAGAGAGAGAGAGAGAGAGAGAGAGAGAGAGAGAGAGAGAGAGAGAGAGAGAAATCACCCATCAGTGAATACTGGCCACACTACAATCCCTTCTCCTTGTCTCTTCTTGGGATTTGGGGCATACAACATGTGCCTGGTGTGATTTTTAAGCACCAAGTCCAAGGTTCAAATTGCAGTTCAGTCTTTAACCACCATGCAACCTACTGACTCCCATGGGATGTTCTTAAGTACCCTGTGATTAACCAAGGACAGGTAGTAAAGCACTTGGCAAAAAGTAATTAGAATGACTTTCTAAAATTCTATCTCAGTGATCTTTCTGTCTGATTTCTGACTCTTGAAAATCATAAACTCCCTGCATATCTCCTGGTGTATGACCTCTGTAGACTCTTGGAACTACTTCAGTGTTTGGGTGTTCTTTCTATAGTAAATATTCCTAGGCTCAATCTGCTGGGTGCTGTTACATGCATGTAGTTTGTTAGTGGTTTGTGTAATTGTGGACCTTGGGAATGAATGGCTTATAACAGGGTCCCTGGGAAATAAGGTAAGGACAACTGAAAAGGGGGCATCCATCCACAAAAATCTTTGATCATGATCTTTGATCATGTCCAATTTATCATTAAAAAGTTATAAAGGATAGCCTTCAGTCTAATTTATCTATGGCAGTCTAACACTGCAGGTCACTAACTGCATTAACTTCTGTTTCTGCTGCCAGTTACAAGTGGACCGAATATATTCATAAGAAGAATCTTTTCTACATGCTGGCGATTGAAAGGTGCTTGCAAGAAAAAATGTGGAGGAAGTGAAATATATCACATACTTTGTGATTCTGAACGTCTGTGCTGTATAGTGAAAAATGATTTACCTATATTGGTTGGGAGATAGTTATGAGTAGCTGAAGGCTGATTTGGTTTTGAGAACCCAGATCCTTACTGGTTGCACCATCCTGTTAAAATGATGGCTTTAGCCTATCGGAGTTTTTTGTATCTATTGTGTTATTCTTTACAGTAGCTCCTAGAAAATAAATACTCTCCCAATTAAACACCTTGTCTACAGTATTTTTTATTTTATTAAACATTTCTTATACTCCTCTTGAAGTACAATGTACAATTAGAAAAGTGTACAAGTCATATGTAAACATTTTGATGAATTTCCCAAAATTAACACACAGTGTAAATAGTACCCACATAAGCAAAGAATATTACAACATTCCAAGTACTACCCATGCAGGCTAATCCCCAGCCTGACTTTTAATATCAGAGTCCTGGTACCTATATTTGAACTTTATATAAATAGAATCATGCTATAGGTACTTCTTTGCATATGACTTCTACTCTGCCTTATTTTTGTCGAATTTATTCATATCCTTTCATATGATCATAGTTTATCATTTTCACTGGCATTTAGTATTGCATTGAGACATATACCACAGTTTATTTGAATATTCTAGTGTCATATTTATAGTTTTCATTTTTTCCATAAGTTCATTTATGCATTTATTTTGGGTGAGAGAAAGATAAGCATTCCCAGAAGGGCCCCCGTGCCATAATCCACCCTCAGTCTCAACTGGCCCAGATCATAAGTACACAATTGGCATGTTCAGGGAGGTCCTAGAATGTGAACTCAGGACCATTCTTATGTGAGTCCAGTTGTGTCATTACTGTGCAATGGCTTAGCTCTAGTTTTTGGGTCTTATATACAGTGCTATAATGAACATTCATGTGCATGGTTTTGAAGTATATATGCAGACATTTCTGTGGATATATATACTTAGGAGTGGAATTCCTAGGTCACGGGTCATATAGATAATCAGTTTTAGTGGATAGATGTTGGCCTATTGCCTTAAATTGGTTATACCAGTTTATACTCCCACACAGTGTCTGAGAGTTCTTGATGCTTTGCATTTTCATCTATGCCTAGTATTTGCTGCCTTTCCCCCTGTATTCTAGTAGGTATATGAGAGGGTATCAAAATCTCCATGGAAAATCACCAAGTTAGTATGAGTTTGTTTTGATGCAAAATTTTTTGAAATACATGCATAGTAGTTTTCGTAATTTACATCTCCATGAACTTTCTAAAAATCTCTCATATAATGATGACACATGATGCTTTAATTTGTCTTTCAAATCTCCCATGCCAGTGACATAGCCACTATGCCGACTGCTGGCCCCCTCTCAAGCCTTTGTGCTTGTTCATCTTCTCAGTGAATCCCAGGAGATGGGTGCATGAGCTCACCAGAGAAAGAGAGAGAGAGAGAGAGAGAGAGAGAGAGAGAAATCACCCATCAGTGAATACTGGCCACACTACAATCCCTTCTCCTTGTCTCTTCTTGGGATTTGGGGCATACAACATGTGCCTGGTGTGATTTTTAAGCACCAAGTCCAAGGTTCAAATTGCAGTTCAGTCTTTAACCACCATGCAACCTACTGACTCCCATGGGATGTTCTTAAGTACCCTGTGATTAACCAAGGACAGGTAGTAAAGCACTTGGCAAAAAGTAATTAGAATGACTTTCTAAAATTCTATCTCAGTGATCTTTCTGTCTGATTTCTGACTCTTGAAAATCATAAACTCCCTGCATATCTCCTGGTGTATGACCTCTGTAGACTCTTGGAACTACTTCAGTGTTTGGGTGTTCTTTCTATAGTAAATATTCCTAGGCTCAATCTGCTGGGTGCTGTTACATGCATGTAGTTTGTTAGTGGTTTGTGTAATTGTGGACCTTGGGAATGAATGGCTTATAACAGGGTCCCTGGGAAATAAGGTAAGGACAACTGAAAAGGGGGCATCCATCCACAAAAATCTTTGATCATGATCTTTGATCATGTCCAATTTATCATTAAAAAGTTATAAAGGATAGCCTTCAGTCTAATTTATCTATGGCAGTCTAACACTGCAGGTCACTAACTGCATTAACTTCTGTTTCTGCTGCCAGTTACAAGTGGACCGAATATATTCATAAGAAGAATCTTTTCTACATGCTGGCGATTGAAAGGTGCTTGCAAGAAAAAATGTGGAGGAAGTGAAATATATCACATACTTTGTGATTCTGAACGTCTGTGCTGTATAGTGAAAAATGATTTACCTATATTGGTTGGGAGATAGTTATGAGTAGCTGAAGGCTGATTTGGTTTTGAGAACCCAGATCCTTACTGGTTGCACCATCCTGTTAAAATGATGGCTTTAGCCTATCGGAGTTTTTTGTATCTATTGTGTTATTCTTTACAGTAGCTCCTAGAAAATAAATACTCTCCCAATTAAACACCTTGTCTACAGTATTTTTTATTTTATTAAACATTTCTTATACTCCTCTTGAAGTACAATGTACAATTAGAAAAGTGTACAAGTCATATGTAAACATTTTGATGAATTTCCCAAAATTAACACACAGTGTAAATAGTACCCACATAAGCAAAGAATATTACAACATTCCAAGTACTACCCATGCAGGCTAATCCCCAGCCTGACTTTTAATATCAGAGTCCTGGTACCTATATTTGAACTTTATATAAATAGAATCATGCTATAGGTACTTCTTTGCATATGACTTCTACTCTGCCTTATTTTTGTCGAATTTATTCATATCCTTTCATATGATCATAGTTTATCATTTTCACTGGCATTTAGTATTGCATTGAGACATATACCACAGTTTATTTGAATATTCTAGTGTCATATTTATAGTTTTCATTTTTTCCATAAGTTCATTTATGCATTTATTTTGGGTGAGAGAAAGATAAGCATTCCCAGAAGGGCCCCCGTGCCATAATCCACCCTCAGTCTCAACTGGCCCAGATCATAAGTACACAATTGGCATGTTCAGGGAGGTCCTAGAATGTGAACTCAGGACCATTCTTATGTGAGTCCAGTTGTGTCATTACTGTGCAATGGCTTAGCTCTAGTTTTTGGGTCTTATATACAGTGCTATAATGAACATTCATGTGCATGGTTTTGAAGTATATATGCAGACATTTCTGTGGATATATATACTTAGGAGTGGAATTCCTAGGTCACGGGTCATATAGATAATCAGTTTTAGTGGATAGATGTTGGCCTATTGCCTTAAATTGGTTATACCAGTTTATACTCCCACACAGTGTCTGAGAGTTCTTGATGCTTTGCATTTTCATCTATGCCTAGTATTTGCTGCCTTTCCCCCTGTATTCTAGTAGGTATATGAGAGGGTATCAAAATCTCCATGGAAAATCACCAAGTTAGTATGAGTTTGTTTTGATGCAAAATTTTTTGAAATACATGCATAGTAGTTTTCGTAATTTACATCTCCATGAACTTTCTAAAAATCTCTCATATAATGATGACACATGATGCTTTAATTTGTCTTTCAAATCTCCCATGCCAGTGACATAGCCACTATGCCGACTGCTGGCCCCCTCTCAAGCCTTTGTGCTTGTTCATCTTCTCAGTGAATCCCAGGAGATTAGGGTCTGCCAAATCCTAGTAATGTCCTATGCCATACGCAATAGAAGTTAGTTCCTCTAGAAGCTTGTGATATTGGATTGCTAGATGTGTGGCTTGGTTTCTTCTCTCCTCTGGATGAATCTGGTTCCTGGAGTTAATCTCCCACCACTCTGCACTAGGCTGGGGAGAGGATCTGTGGTACATGCCTTCACTCTCATTCAGACTGCACATTCTTTAACCCATTGCTTTGCTCTTTGTCGCTTGTAGGGGCTAGCAAATGCTATTAGTTCTTAAAAACAGGCATGTTAACTGCAGGGTTGGTTTTATCTCTGGAGTAAGCCAGAGGGAGGAGCTGTAGAAGTGCCCACACCTGTTCAGGCTCTCAGAATTACCAATTGCCTGCAATTGGCTAACAAATGTTGGGTCTCATTAGGTCTTAGAAACAGGCAGGTTAACTGGAGGCTTGGTTTTATCTCTGGAATAAGCCAGAGGGAGGAGCTGCGGAAATGCCCACACATCTGTTCAGAACTCCCAATTGCCTGTTTCCTGACTATGATTCTTAACTTGGCCAAATTTTAGCCAAGCTTTTGAACCTTCTCCTAGGCCAGAAATTCCATCCTTTTGGACACCAGGTACTTGTTTCATAGAAGACAACTTTTCCGTGAGTGGGTGGGGGTGGGTGGGTGGGGATGGTTTATGAGAGTGTGCAACCTAGATCCCTTGCATGTACAACTCACAATAGGATTTGTGCTCCTATGAGTACCTAATGCTGCATTTGATCTGACAGCAGGCAGAGCTCACAGGGTAATGTGAGTGATGGGCAGTGACTGCAAATACAGATGAAGTTTTGCTCACTTGCCAACCATTCACCTCCTTCCATATGGCCTGGTTCCTAACAAGCCATTGACAAGTATCAGTTTGTGGCCCAGGGGCTGGGAACAGGGGTCTTAGGTCCATCTGTGTACTTCCTTGTAAAATCTGGTTGTAGGAAAAGAACCACACCTAGTCAGTTCAGCTAGAATCTCCCATCCTTGATATGTGATAATCATTGATATTTGACTAGGTTCATCATCTTCTACCTTCTCCTGGGTTATGTTTGATCACTCTTGTCTTCTACAAGAATCCTGTCAGGTCACTTTAGCTAGAATTACCTTTACTCCTCCTGTTTTCTCTTGGTGATTTTCCATCCAGTGATCTCTACTCTGGTCCTTGGTTATAAATTCCCACATGACCATCTTATATTTAGGGTTAAGCCCAGTCTCTCCCCCACTGCAAGCCTCTGTCATGGTAGTCCCTAAACCTTTCATGATGCTTCTGAGTATTCTTTCTTACTGTGCTTTAACAAATATTGAATAATTTTTTCTTTAATAACCATCAGGTCCTAGATGCAGACTAATGAAAAGCTCAACTCTCTGGCAGTAGCTGAGAAGGTCAGAATGTTAGGTAGGCAGCACCTGAGAAAGTGTGCAGTCAAATCCCTTCCAGGGAGAAACTGGGAACTGTGTTTTTGCCTGTTCTCTCTGCACAGAGCCCGGGTGGGGGTAGCCTTGGGCAGTGCTTATGCATCTATTTAAAATTGCCTCTTTGTTCTCTCTGGCCCTGGGGGAGTGATGGATGCTGAGCTGTGTCAGCTCCCAGGTCTCGGTAATTTAGGAGCTGATCCTTCATGTGGAAATGATGAAAGTTGAGTTCAATCTCTTCACTCAGAGAGAAGCTGAGATTCGGGCGTTTCTTCCCAGTTGTAAGAAGGGTTGGACTGTGTCTCAGCTTTTTTCTTTTTAACCCATTTCAGTATGTATATTTTCTCAGTTGCCCAGTGTGTATGAGTCTCTTAACTAGTCTCTGGATTTCTCTCAGAGGGAGTTGAATTCATGTAATTGCTCATTCAGTGCATCTGTGGGTTGAGGAAAAATTTGGAGACCCCAGTCCACCATCTTGGTGTTGTCTTTGGTTCCTGAAATCCCTTTTTTCACAAGACTCAGGCAGAAGTTTATATGACCTGGAAGGAAAAGAAATACCATTCCACAGACTCCATAGTCCTTTTTCCAAGAATTTTTTTTTGCAAAAAAATTCTGCTTTATGTCACTATATACAACTGAATTTATGCAAATATATTAATGCCATTATCAGCCCTCCAATTCCACAGAAAGAACTTACTTCAATGGTTGTTAAAAAAAAGTATCCAAGCACCCATCTAACTTTTTAATGTGTTTCTAAGTAAGTTACAGACATTAGTACACTTGTCCACAAATACTTCAGAATGACATCATTAACTAGAATTTAATAGTTTTTAAACATTTGTTTTTCTTTTTTGTAAGAGGATGCTTGTGCTTGCCAGAAAGAGACAGAGAAAGGGGACAACCCCCCACCCCCCATGGGGAATGGTCTTTCCACTATCTTTTCTCCTTTATCTCTCCCTCCCCTTGGAATTTTGGGCACACATGTACATGTGATTGGTGTGTTTCTCAAGCCACCCGGTCTAAGACCTGAATGACATGGTTGGCTATGTGAGATCTGGCTGCCTCAACCACCAGTTCATGATGCAGGCCTGGTTTTTAAACATTTGTTTGTTTGTTTGTATTTTAGCTTTGCTATAGGACATGTGTGTTCTGGGGAGGGGGTAAGAAATTGAGAAATCACCCTTTGGTGGGATGACTATGACACAGTTTCTTATACATTTTCTTCTGGGGATTTTGAGTAGACTTGCATACATGCTGGCATGTTTCCTTCTCTTAAATTTTTTTTTTTAAATTTAATACATTTTACTTTATTTTATTTTATGCATTAATCACTATACATCACTTAGCTTGCAAAGTGAATTTTCCAACGTGAATACACTTCACATCAGTCCAGTTGGGGATACTATACACATTATCCATCAACAGATAATCCATTTCTGTGTCCCATAATTTAGAAAGAGATTTTTACTATAGGGTACATGCAGTCACTGGGGAGACAGAGAGACAGAAAGTAAGAAATCATCCCCAGATGGGTTAACCACGTTGCAATGCCTTCTCCTCCATTCTCTTCTCAGGCAGGATTTTGGGCAGACATGCACACACATGTGGCGTGAGTTTCAAGCCACCACATCTGGAACTCAAACCTCAGTTGATCATGTGGGAGTCCAGTGATGTAACCATTGTGCCATCTACTGGACCTGTTGTCATGTTTCTTAAAGCCAGTAAGTCTAGGACTTGAAGCACACAGTTGGCCATGTGAGGTCCTGCTGACCTAACCTCCATGCCACCTGCTAGCCTGGTTTTAAAACATTTTAAAAATAAAATTTACATGCAATGAGATGCATAGAGTTTAAGTTTGCATTCTAAGAGTTTTTACAGAATACATACATCCCTGGACAATAATCCCATCTCTATGGCCTGTACCCTCTGCTCCTGGTGACAGTGGTAGCCCTACCACTGAATGACCTTCAAAGACATTCATTCCCTTTACAGCATAATGACTATAGTTAGTAATACCGTCACTAAGTAAATAAGCCCTTGAGGTGTCTAGCAATCTCCATTACACATGCCAGACATCCCAGGCCAATTCTAGACACCATTTTTAGACAATGTAATTTGCAATTTTGCCACCAGGTGAGTGAAAGGTCAGGGAGTAATATCTAAAAATAATCTTTTTTTTTTTTTTTTAAGTTTTTGTCGTGGGGCATGTGCAATCACAAGAGAGAGAGAGAGAGAGAGATTGAGAGATTGAGAAATCACCCCCCCCGGGGGGTTGGCCATGCTGCAATTCCTTTTCCATTTCTTCCTCTTTTGAGGAGTTTGGGCATGTGTGCACATGTACCCAGTGTGTTCTTCAAGTTACTGGGGTCGATTCTTTTTTTTTTTGGAGAGGTATTTTGCTATAGGGCACGTGCGCTCCCCAGACAGAGAGAGACAGAGAGACAGAAAGCGAGAAATCATCCCCCAGGGGGGATGGTCACGCCACAATCCCCTCTCCTCCATTCTCCTCTCAGGATCTTGGGCATGCACGCACACGTGCCTGGTGTGAGTTTTAAGCCACTGGGTCTGGGACGTGATCCACGGTCGACTACGTGGGAGTCCAGCGACATAGCCATTACGCTAACTGCTGGTTCCCTGGGGTCAACTCTTGAACTAGGCGGTCAGCTATGTGGGATCCAGAGCCTTAACCACCATGTATTGGGCTGCCCCCAGAAATCATTTTTGAAAAACATTTATTTCTTCCATGAGGGACAGAGGGAAAGACAGGCCCCCATGACTTGATGCCTACATACACCACCACCCTCAGCCAACCTCCCATCGTGAGCACTTGTATTTCCGGCGTATTCAGGGAAGTCTCTGGACATGAACCTAGGACCTTCTCTTGTGGGTCAGCCTTGCACAGTGTCATACTTCATTGCTACACCACTGTCTGGACCCCACGGGAAAATATTGAAGAACATTTGCTGTTATATTATGACAAAACTCTGCCCCGTTTTGTTGCTTTATTGAGAGATATAGTAACTACATTTAAAAAAAGATATAGGATCTTGGGGCCAGCAGGTGGCATAATGGTTAAAACTAGATTCCCACATGGCTAGTTGTGGTGTGAGTACTAGACCTGGTGGTTTGAAAATCATGCCAGGGGTGTGTGTGTGTGTGTGTGCAGGCCCCAAATCCTAGGACAATGGAGAAGGGATTTCACACTTTCTCTCTCTCTCTCCATTTCTCTGTCTCTCTCCCATGAGCACACACATCCTAGTGAGCAAAATAAAAATAAAGGGTGTGTGTGTGTGTGGTATGTGGCATGGTTGTTAAGATGCTGGACTTCCACATGGTCAACCATAGGTTGAGTGCCAGACCTGGAGGCTTGCTCTCTCTCTCTCTGCTTCACTTTGGTGAGTGCATGTGCCCTGTAGCAAATTAAATAATAAATAAATAAATAAATAAATTTAAATAAGTAATGCTTTAAAACAAACAAACAAAAAACCCAAAAAACTTAGGGTCTTGGAATTGAGTTTCTTTTGATGAGTCATTATAAAGAGAACAAAGAAAGTTAGCCAAGTTCTCTTCAGGTTCTGTATTTTAAGAAGACCAGCAGAACTAGTGGTGATCATGCAACATATGTAGTTTCTCTCAAAAGAATAAAGACGTTTGCTGCTACCATTGTATGATAGAGTTCATTTCCTGACAGGGTATATGAGTGTGAACATTTGGGTTTGTGGAAAAGTCAGGTAGAGGTAGAGTAGGGTTGCTTTATCTACTTTATTTTTGTTTTTTGTAGCAGTGAAAAATTCTGTCCATGCAGAACTTGCCATATTCATAAGAGTGTCTGATTTGTCCAGCAGAAACTCAGACTCTCTCCTGGCTTTGGGGCTCAGCTCTCTGAATGGTCTCTAACAGTGACTCCTCACCTTATTTCTCAGAGTATCAGCAGGCAGGATTACTTTCAGGTTTCTCTATATCTATGTAGATAGATCATTTGTACCCAATGTGGAAGAGTAAAATGAGAGGCAAGCTGTTTGAGATGTTAGAAGGCTGTAATTCCAGATTTTGTGCTTTTTGGAGAAGGATTCCCTGGCTTCCCTCAGAGTCCAACAGTTTTCCTGGGCCCTCTCTGGATATGTTCTGTACTCTGCATACTGAGTAACCTGGTTACCATTCTAAGCCATCTCTGATCCATTCATTTAACTTGCCTCTCCTGCAGATATCATAGCAGAATTTGGGCATGCCACTAGATTCTTAGTGTCTTCCTCCTCAGAGGTACCAACACTGGATTTTCTTGAAGACTGACCATTGTCTGGGAGTATGGAACCCCTCAAGCTCCTTATTGTTTCTTATTCACAGTTCTCCTTTCTTCTCTTCCCAGTGAGTAGCTGGGCAGGCAGCACTGTCATTACAGCCTAGGAACTTAACCATTCTTCCCTCAGTCCTGTGCCAGATTAGCTATTTGCAGCTACAGCCCTATCCTCTTGGAATCACTAGAAAGTCCAAGCCATATCCAGCATTGAAGCTAAAGAAGATTGTTCCACAACCAGAATGTACCTTTTTCTGTCACCCTACTCTTTGTCTTGAATAGCATGTAGCTTACACATTTATGCATAACTATCTATCTATAGTCTGATCAATTAGGCAAGAAGTTGGCAGGAGTCTAGTAGCCAGTAATACCACCAGCACCATGACAGAAATTGCTAAATTTTCTTGTTATATCTTCATGAGGTTGGCTGATAAAGAAAACAGTGAGTTCCAATGGATTTAGACAGTTTATTATACATAGAACAAAGCAAGATCAGCATAGTGTTAGTTCCTAGATCCACGGGATGACACCCAACCAGAGAGGCCAGATGATGGGTAGCAGAGGTGGTGGGTCACTCTGCTACTGAAGCGCCAACATTAAGCCTTAGCCAAACAATCTTACGGTCTATAGCTTAACCCTAAGTGTGCTGAGGTTGGAAGTCTCATGTTTAACTGAAACTAGGGAGGTGAGAAACTACTTTGTGACAGCCCATCAGAAGATGATTTTCTGTTTCAAGAACTTCAGGGTCAGACTCAGTCAAGACTTGGGTCAATTTACAGATAAGTTTTGCCTATGTGGTCCATGTGAGAGATGTACTCATAGGTTTAGGGCAGATCTGTTTCTCTACAAATAGGAGATTCATCATAGAAAAGGTACATGGGAACTTGAAGAGATGGTAGGGTAGGACCTAGTTTAAAAAAATGTTTCTATTTGAAGACTCTAAATAATCAATACATCTTTTTTATGATTAGAACAAGAAATAGGCATTGAAGAAAGCATTAGATAGCGCATTGGAATGAGAAAATATAGTCTAGGTTGTTTTCATGAGAAATTTAGCACTTTTTAAAAAGAAGGCTGCAGCTCAGCTCTTCAAATCCAAATTCCCAGGATTCTGGTGGCTTATTAAAATGCTAAAACCCAGCAGCCTTGGGCACATCACAGTGTCACAGTTTGATCCACATTCCCAGTTTTGTGAAATATGGGAGGGCCAAAGATCTTCAGGTTAATTGACATTCACTAGTTTCTCATGTTAGTGTGCAGGGTTTCCTCTGACACAGCATTCTAGTTGATACAAACAATAAGCAACTAACATTTCACTTCCATAGCACTCAAGTCTGCAGGTACCATTGCCATAACATTTCTTGTGAATTTCTGATGAAAATGGATTTAAGCCTAAAATGAAAATGAATGAAAAGATTATTTGCTAAGGATCTCTTTTGAAATATAGAATGATTGACTTCTCAATTTTCATCCCACTGGAGTCCAAGGACATTTGGTTATAATACTTTTTTTTCCCATTTATAGAATTGACAAAAGTTAACAAGTGCTATGGCTAAATTGTGTCACACCAAAATTTGTATATTGAAACCCTAACTTCCGATTCATCATATTTGAAGATAGGGCCCTGAGGAGGTAATATAAGTTAAATGAGGTTGTAAGATTGGAGGCTTAATCTGGTAAAGTAGGTACCCTAATCCAATAAAATAGCCTTATTGAAGGAGGACACAGCAAGAAGAGGGGCATCTACAAGCCAGGAAGAGAACCCTCACCAGACACCGAATAAGCCAACGCCTTGATCTTGGATTTCCCAGTTTCCAGAACTATGAGAAAATGAATTTTGTTTAAGCCACACATTCTATGGTATTTTATTATGGCAGCCTGAGCTGACTAATACAAACAGCAACTTGGAAGTTTGCCTGAACTGGTCAGTTAGTATAATCCAAACAATCAAGGTAGTCATTCTACTCACTATGTGATTATTTAAACATTTGATTACTGAATTATCATTACTTATTCATCCCCAAAACCATTTTTATAAATTCTGTTCATTAGGGACTGCTAGGGTACAGATTTGAGTATAATATAAACTTTAACCTTAAAGAATATTTAGTCTAGAGAAAAAGAGAAGAAACCCTATCTCTGAGAGAGGAGAAAACATGACAAATGCAGTGAAGCATTTTCAACATGGAATGGTCTTGTGAGTCTGGAAGAGAGTTTTTGGAAATCTTATTAGAACCCAAGGCATTTGATACCTCAAATGTTTATAATTTTGTAGACATAGTACTTCTTAGAGCTACCAAATATAAAGGTTTCTCTATTTTTATATGCAAGAAGATTTTAAGAAAGAAGGAGTGCCAATATTTAGTCATCTATAGAAATCTTGAGCCACCACATACCCTATACAAGTCACTGTGCCTTAGAAAATAATTATCTTATAGGTAAAAGAAAGAGACTAAGGTTGTTCAGGTGGCAAGATGGAAACCCCAAAGCATAATCTGTAACACTTTCAGGAAGTTGAAGTATAATGGTCTATGCAATAAGATAAGAAATTTCTATGAAATTGACAAGCTATAGGAATGTATAAGGACTAAAGGAACTATTTAGACTAAAGTTGTTGATTCTCTGGAGGCCATGAATCAATTGCCATACACCATGATGAAATGGTGCTGTCAACAGTTTCAAGAGGCCCAAATCCTATGGATTTTAAAATTCAGCCTATTGAGTCACATGATCTAAAAACCTGGCTTAATTTGCCTAGAGAACCCTTCAGGGAAGCTGAAGTATTGAACTGATCTGTAACATCAGTGAAGAGAATATTCAAGCTAAGTTTTGTAAAGTCAAAAAAGAATGCGATAAAACTAGAGTGTAGGCCAGTCCCGCTCTCCTCCATGTACGCTACCTCATATGATCAGATACTTTTTCTCTTACAGTTATACTCTTGAAAGAAACAGTTCCAAATTTGTTTCTTCATGTACCTAAGGGATCCACAAATCATAAATCAACTATAAGCCACTTCAGTATATTAAAAAGCTTAACAAATGTGTGATATCACTGTTTGCTGGTTTTAACTATTAAATCTAGATATAGTGTGAAATTAGAGACTACAAAACAGTAGCAAAGTAGGATGGGGGTATTACTAATGAATATACAGTGATAACTCTCATGAACCAGGTATTTTCACATTATACATATAGGCATATTCTATACATTATCCTATTTTACCTTTGCTAGACTCTTATTTCCATTTTGTAAATGAAGGCTCAGAGAAGCTCAGGCATTTGCTTTCAGCTGTACAGCCAGCAAGTTGGAAAGCCAAGATTCAATCTCAGGTCTTGCTGACATCAGCACTGGCTGATGCATTTTCTCCTTGGAAAATTAGAGTTCTTGGTAGGTGTGACATTTTTTTGGGTCATTTAGTAAAGTTCTTCTAGAAGAGGCACTTTCCTCCCCAGGAAGATTCCCATTTTACCTGCCAGTGCTGGATCCCAAAAGAAGAGAAAGACAAACACGATGAGAAGAGGTTTCATGCCCAGAAACTTCTGCTGAGGTGGCTGGTGGCAGGGTCTGACAGTGGCTGTCAAAGAACAGGGAGAAAGAGAAAGTTGAGCACACGCACTCTTGTACAAACCTCTCAGATCTGGGGTATGCCCTGCCCTGAGTCGATATGCCATTCTGAACACCCCTGAGGCAGTTGTGTTGGCAATACTGATCTGAGGACAAAACTGACAGCCCTTTCCTGTTTGACAGCTTTCCCCATCAACAAAGGCATTGTTTCCCCTACTGGGTTTTCCAAAAGTACTCAAAAACACTTGGGAGCAATATAATTCTCTATTCTTTTTAAAAATTTATTTATTTCTACAGGCAGACAGACAGACAGACAGACAGACAAACACCCCAGTGTCCACACACCATGATTCACCCCTAGGCTGAGCTATATTTTTATCCATCCCAAAACTCGTGTCTTAATCCATTATTTATTTATTTATTTAGCTTGCTGTAGGGTATACATGCTAACTCAGGAGAGAGAGAGAGAGAGAGAGAGAGAGAGACAGAGAGTTCATGACCTTGCCTGTGCATATAGGGAGGCCCTGGGACATGAACCTGGGCCCTCCCCATAGGAATCTAGTCATGTTACTGCTGTGCCACTGTCTGGCCAACCCCAACTTTATATTTTTTAATGAACAAAAAATTCTTTACTTTAGCTCTTATGTTACAATATAAACAATTAGAGTGCTAATTTACAAAATTCTAGGACAAATAGGTGGTGAGAAGGTTAAGGTGCTAGATTCCACATGGCTGACTGCATAGTTTGAGTCCTGGCCCTGGCAACTTGAGAATCACGCTGGGCATGTGTGTGTGCATGCCCAAAAATCCCGAGAGGAGAATGGAGAAAGGATTGCAGCATGGCCATCCACTCCTGGGGGTTGATTGCTCACTTTCCCTATCTGTCTCTCTCTGGTGAGGGCATGTACCTTGTTACAAAGGGAAAAAAAAAAAGAAAATTTATAAAATACTAAAAATCACTTTCTCTGAAAGTTATATTGTGCTCCACCTCTCAGAAACGGTGTGTGTGTGTGTGTGTGTGTTTCCACCTTTGTGCGTCTTAAAAAAAGTTTTGTCTGGAACCAGCAGAGGGTGTAATGGTTTTGTAGCTGGACTCCCATGTAGGTGATTATGGTTTGAGTCCTGGACCTGGCAGCTTGAAACTCACTCTGGGCATGTATGCGTGTACACCTAAAATCCCAAGAGGAGAATGGAAGAGTAGGAATTGCAGTGTGGCCAGTCCCCCTGAGGGGTGATTTCTTACTTTCTGTGTCTCTTTCTCTCCAGTGAGCAAGCACATGAGTCCTATAGCAAAAAATCTCTTTCTCTGAAAAAAAAAAGTTTTTCTGTGTTTGGTTTGTTATGTGATATTTTGTTTTGCATTTTATTTTGTTATGAGTTTAATATTCTTGTAATTAGGTGTCCTGCTTTTATAACTTGATATATAAGAGTGAGGAAACTTCAAAAACTTGTGGAAAAATGGAATTAAAGCATGATTTTATTTTGGAGTAAAAAAAATTTTTTTTTTTGAGAGGTTTTTCGCTATAGGGCGTGTGTGCTCACCAGACAGAGAGAGACATAGAGACAGAAAGCGAGAAATCACCCCCCAGCGGGGATGGTCATGCCGCAATCCCTTCTCGTCGATTCTCCTCTCGGGATCTTGGGCACGCACGCACACGCGCCCGGCGTGAGTTTTAAGCCACCGGGTCCAGGACATGAACTGCGGTCGACTACGTGGGAGTCCAGCGACATAGCCATTATGCTAACTGCTGGTTCCCTGGAGTAAAAAATTTTTGAAATTCATACATAGTTTTCTCATAATGATTTTTCCTGAACTTTGTGAAGATCCTTTGTATAAAGCAGTGTCATTAGAAACTCTTTATAAGTAGTATTTTAAAATTCTGCATAATATTCCATCAAGGTTTTTTTTTTTTAAAGAATTATTTATTTATTTATTTAATTCATTTATTTTAATTTGATCAGAAAGGGACAGAGTGCGCACGTGAGAGAGAGGGAAAGTGAGAAAGGAAGGTGCCAGGTCTGGGACTGAAACCGCAGTCAGTCATGTGGGAATCCAACACCCTTAACCACCATGCCACCTGCTGGCCCCCCATCAAGGTGTTTTTAATAAATTTTTTTTTTTAAGTTGCCAAAGGGCAGCAGAGACAGAGAGAAGGAGGGAGAGGAGGAAAGCACCGAATACTGGGGTGTGGTAATGCTGCAATCTATTTTCCTCCATTTCTCCATCCTGTTAGCATTTTAGGCCTGTGTGCACATACGTCAAGAATGTTTTTCAAGTCACTGAGGCTGGAATTGAAACCAAAGTTGGCCATTTGGGATCTGGCTGCCTTAACCACTAGACTATGGGACTGGCCTATTAGCTATCATTGTAAGGAGAGAACGCTGTCAGGAGCATGGATTATATAATGTCATCCTTCATTGGCAGAAATCTTAGCTATGTGTTACTTTGTGGAAAATTAAACATCTTATTTATCTAATTCATCATTTTTGTATACTTTAAAAAAAATTATGTAGCTACAGGATTCAGCAAGTGGCATGGTGGTTAAGGGTGCTGGACTCCCACACGGCTGACTGCTGTTTGAGTCTCAGACCCGGTGGCTTGCTTTCTCACTTTCTCTCTCTCTCTCTGGTGCTATGTCCCTCTTTGGTCAAATAAAATAAATAAATAAATGTTAAATAAAAAAATAAATAATTCTAAAAAATGCGAAGAATACCAGACTTGGTATCTAGAATTGGAAGCATCAAATAACTTATTCTAAAACATGGAATTGGTTAAGTAAAGAAGTAGGAAGTTTGAGTAGTGGGTATCAAGCTGTTGTACTTTGGAAAGTTAGTGACCTTTTCAATGAAATGAAAAAAAAATTTGGATATGTCATTTCTTATACATTGAGATGCAGATCATTCAACACTTCTGTAATGTTAGGGGAAATAGTAGGGGAATATTATTAATTCATGCTTGCTAATACTTGTTACTTTCAGACAAGTCCTAAAATTTAAGCATGTTCTTAGAGACAGTGTGTTTAATCATCAGAATGGAAGGAGCATCTTTCCTTTTTTTTATTTTTTTTGCTATGGGGCTTGTGTGGTCGCCAGAAAGACAGAGACACAAAGTAAGAAATCACCTCCCAGGGGGAATGGCCACACCATAATCCCTTGTCCTCCACTCTCCTCTTGGGATCTTGGGCATGCACGCACACGCATCCGGCATGAGTTTAAGCCTCCTGGTCCAGAACTCAAACTGCGGTCAACTAAGTGGTACCATTACACCATCTGATGTTCCCCTGGAGCATTTTAATAATGGAGAGGTTATCAGCATATTTTTATTAACCAAGACTCCTGTCTTAGCCCATTTATTTATTTAGTTAGTTAGTTTACTATAGGGCACATGAGCTTGCTGGAGAGAGAGGGAGAGAGGGAGAGAGAGAGAGAATGTGTGTGTGTATGTGTGTGTGTGTGTGTGTGTGTGTGAGAGAGAGAGAGAGAGAGAGAGAGAGAGAGAGAGAGAGAGAGAAATTACCAAACAGGGGCATGAGCACAACACAGTTCTTTCTCCTCCATTCTTCACTTGGGAGTTTGGGCATGCACATGAACAGGACTGGCATGTTTTTCAAGTCACGTGGTCTGGGACTTGAACTGTACAATCATTTCATGTGTGACTAGTCACCTTAACCTCTGTGCCACCTGCTGGCTCTCTTAGTCCATTTTTGTGTTACCAATAAAAATACCTGAGACTGGGTGAATTGTAAAGAGAATAGAAGCTTATTCCTCAAAGTCATGATTCTCATGGCTAGAAAGTCCAAAGACTTCACAAGATGGTGGAAGGCAAAACTTATAGTAGAGCAGAATGTAGTTTGTATCTGTGCACTATCTCAAAACCCTACCACGAGGTGGAGCTCCATTTATGGTCAAGACTCCACATACCAGAAGGAGTAGAGGATACAAAAGAGAGCAACCCTCTACCAATAGAGACTAAAGGGATTTCGTCACTCACTACATTGCATCCGGCAGGCAGGGTTGTATTCTGGTTCAGGGAGTCACTGGCTGCCAGAAATTAAGCCTGGCTTAGATATGAAAGGCACAGCTGACTCCTGGGCCTACCTGAATACCTTCCCAAGACTACACCCATGGCCTGAAAGCTGCCCTGTCTCCTCTTCCTTTAGCCATCTTCACAGGGTTACATTCAGACTTTGAGAAAGCTAGACTCCCATACACAGGCTACTTAGGACCCATATCTTGGGCTTCAAAGATAGGCTTGCCTCTGTGCCCTCCTAGACCACCTTGCCAAAGCTCCAAGTGGACCTGAAGAGCCATTCTGCCTCCAGATCTTATGCACAGACTACATAGCCCTGCTCTGATTTGGAAGACGTGCCTGTCTTCTGGCCTGTCTTGAACCACTCTGCCAGGTGCACACTTGGGAACTAGGGTCATTCTTCCTCCTCTCTTTCCAGCATTAAAGTATCTACTCCAAAAATTAGGAAGAAGTAAGGACTTCAGTAGATGTCTAAAACCAACAAAGAAACAGAAGAAATATGAAAAAAGTCAAAATATAACAAAACAAGAAAATATCTCTCTCCCTAAGGAATACAATAGCTCCTCACCAACAATGGAGGAAACAGAAAATCATGAAAATGTTAGAAAAGAAATTCTGAATATTCATTATAATGAAACTCAATGAGATGTGAGAAAAAATGGACAGTCAATTCTAGGAGATGAGAAAACCATTCCATGATATGAAGGAGGAATTCCATAAAAAGATTGCTACCTGAAAAAAGATGTTACAGTCCTCCTGCGGATGAAGAATACAATCTAGGAAATAAAAATTTTCCTTGAAAGTATTAACAGCAAATTAGACTACACAGAAGAAAGAATTTATGACCTTGAAGATAAAACTTGCAATTTAGTTCAAGTTGCCAAAAAGAATAAAAATATAACCATTAAAAATGAGGACAATATACAGGAAATTCTAGACACCATTAAGTGACCAAATATCCACACAATAAATATTCCAGAAGGTGAACAGATGGGTAAAAGCATAGAAAATCTTTCATGAAATACAATCTGAAAACTGTCCAAATCTAGAGAGACATATGGACATTCCAGATAGAAGAAATACAAAGAACCTCAAAGAGATTCAATATAAGAAGATCCTCTCTAAGGGACATCATAGCCAAAGTGACAAAAGCCAAAGCCAAATGTAATATTCTAAAAATGGCAAGAGAAACACCTAATTACTTGCAAAGGATAATCCATCAGACTAACCTCAGCACTCGCAACACAAACAATACAGGCAAAGAAAGAATGGGAAGACATGTTTAAAATTCAGAAAGAAAAAAATTTCAGGCAAGAATATTATACTTGGCAAGATTATCCCTCAGATGGAAAGGAGAAATAAAATTATTTCCAGATAAATAAAAACCCAAAGAACTTACCAGGTCAGCTGATAGTGTATTAAGGCAACTGGACTCCACATGGCTTACTGTGCAGTTCAAGCCTTAGACTCAGTGGCTTGAAAAACACACGTGTATATGCATGCTAAACATCCTGAGAGGAGAATGGAGGAGAAGGGATTATGGCATGGGTGATTTCTTACTTTCTCTCTATCTCTGTCTGTGTCTTTCTATAGCAAGTGCATGCACCCTATAGCAAAAACCAAAAACGAAACAACAACAAAAAAAAGAATTTACCAATACTAAACCATCTCTTTAAGATATACTTAAAAGGGAATACTACATCAGGAAAATGAAGAAGAGGCAAATAGAAATAAGAGAACATAAATCAACTAAGAAAATGACTAACAGGGACCAGTGATTGGTGTAATGGCTATGTTGCTGGACTCCCATGTAGTCAACTATGGTTCAAGTCCTGGATCTGGTGGCTTAAACTCACACCAGGTGTGTGTGAATGCATGCCTGAGATCCTGAGAAGAGAATGGAAGAGAAGGGATTGCTGCGTGGCCATCCCTCCTGGTGGGTGATTTCTTGCTTTCTGTCTCTCTGTCTCTGTCTTTCTGGTGAGCACGTGTGCCCTATAGGAAAAACCTCTCCCCTCCACCAAAAAAAAAAAAAAAAAAAAAAAAGTAAATGACTAACAAAATAGCAGGCATAAATCTGAATATATCAATAATAACATTGAATGTTATGGATTAAATTCCCCAATTAAAAGACACAGATGGGCTAAATGGATAAAGAAATAGAAGCTTTCCATGAGCTGCTTACAAGAAACACACCTCATTGATAAAGATATGCATATATTGAAAATGAAGGGCTGGAAAAAGTCATTTCATGCAAACAGAAACCAAAAAGGGCTGGAGTCACAATACTGATATCAGACAAAATACACTTTAAGCTAAAAACTGTAAAAATGAGACAAAAAAAGGATGCCATAAAGCTGTACAACAATTTAATGTGAATAAATTAGAAATGAAATAAAGAAAATTGAGTGTAAGCCTTTATAAAATTTATATTTATTTGAACCTGACCATCTAAACATGTAATACCGTGAATTGCCTTTCATCCATCATATTAATTAGTCATAGAAAGATAGAAGAGTTTAAAACATTTTTAGTTTCTGTTCCTGGAGCTGAAGAAAGTGGAATTAAACTTTTCACCACTTCTTTGTTTTCTTAATTTGCTTGTTCCTTGCTTTGCAGCAGATGCTCCAGTCATCACAGTATCTAACTGCATATTCATTAGCATTGCACTTCATTCTGCAATGATGTAATCCCGGAGGACACGTAACAGAAGAAAAGCTGCTGGCTTTGAAAAGAAAAGATGAATTAGATTATATTATTTTTAAAAAGAATTATTTATTTACTTTTTAATTTATTTACTCATTTATTTTAATTTGATCAGAGAGAGATACAGAAAGAGAGAGAGAGAGAACGTGAGAAAGCAAGCCACCAGGTCCAGGACTCAAACTGTGATTGGTCAAGTGGGAGTGTCCAGCATCTTAACCACCATGCCACCCTCTGGTCCCCAGTTATTTGTAATTTTTTTTAATGTCTGAAATATTTTATAATAAATTTAAAACAACTTTAAAGAACTTTCCCAGAAACAACAAAAACAACAACAATGACAAAACACAAGAGAGAGTGGAGCTTTGAATAAAGGCAAATATGGTTTGTTCTGTAAAGAGAGCAGCTATGTAAGATAGTAGCTGAACAGGGACAAGTTTTGAGAAGAATTACTGACTGTTTCTGCCTAAAATTAATGACTCAGTTCTGGGGGGAGAGTGAGGATTCATGATGCAAGAAAGTATGTTTAATTTCAGAGTTGAAATTCTTTTAAATTTTTTTCTCTTATTTTTTTTTTATCTTTATACATTTAATCACTGAGTATCTTTACAGTAAACCAAATGAGTTTTCTCATCATGAATACATTGCGTATTGGTCCAGTCAAAGGCATTACCATAAACATAACAAATTTTTTTCAATTTTGGGTCCCTTTAATGTTTTGCTTCCCTCTTTTTCCCCTTGAGTCTTACCCTCCCTATTTTCCACCCTCTTCCCCCACTGTCTCCAGTATTGTCATTCTTCACAATGCTTTTATACCTTCCAATCAATTCTTAAAAAATCAAACGAGGGTGGAATTTAGAGTGCAAGTGAAGGGCTCAGCCTTCCTCCAGAGAGTCAAGAGAAAGCAGACCATGGGTAAAATTAAAATTGGGTAAAGATATATGGTGGTGGAAAAATGGAAGCTTGGCCATCGCTTAGTGGTTAAGGGAGCTGAATCCCACATAGCTGAACACAGTTTGAATTCTAACCTTGGCAGCTTAAAAAATACACTGGGTGCATGTGTGCCCCACATTGGAATAGGGTGGAGAAATGGAGGAGAAGGGATTGCAGCATGACCATAGCCCACTGGAAGGTGGTTTCTCCTTTTCTCTCTTTCTTTCTGGAAGTTTAATGTGTCCGCTGCCAATTAGGAAAAAAAAAAAAAAAAGACGTTATCTCTGGTTGCTTCTTTTTCTGTTTTGATAAAATATAACAAATCATTAATTGAAAATGAGAAGTGGTATTGGCTCCAGTTTTCCAGTGCTTTCAGGTTCAAGGCCACATCTCCTTTGCTGAGGAAGTTACTGAGATATGCCTAGGATCATGTAAGCAATAATCTCCCACTTTGGTTTTCTGCCTTCTTTTTGGTCTCCAGGTGTTTTCTTTCATCCTTTTGTTTTTGTCTCAAAAGAAACTACTATTCTAACTTTTATAGTAATGATTTCTATATTTTTATAAAATAGCTGTATTTCTTGAGTTTTCATAGAAATTTTTCATTAAAATTTTTGATATTCCCTTAAAATCCACAGGTCTTTTCCAAAATCTTTTCCTATAAATTATAGGCTAAAATCTTTGCCAAGGGAACCAGCAGTTAGCGTAATGGCTATGTCGCTGGACTCCCACGTAGTCGACCGTGGTTCGTGTCCCGGACCCGGTGGCTTAAAAAACTCACGCCGGGCACGTGTGCGTGCGTGCCCAAGATCCCGAGAGGAGAATGGAGGAGAAGGGATTGCGGCGTGACCATCCCCCCTGGGGGGTGATTTCTCGCTTTCTGTCTCTATGTCTCTCTCTGTCTGGCGAGCGCACGCGCCCTACAGTGAAAATCTCTCCAAAAAAAAAAAAATCTTTGCCAAGACTAATATAAATTTTCTCCCTATGTACTTTTTTCTTTTTCAAACACTTTCATTATTATCTACAAATTATAATTGTATGTTTTTATGGGGTGTAAAGTAATGTTAGAATTTTTTAATACAATGTGGAATGACCAAATCAAGCAAACCAACCTATTGATAATGTACAAGTGTTCACTTTTCTCTATGTCCTTGCCAACATTTGTTAATCTCTTGTCTTTTTGATAATAGCCATTCTAACAGGTGTAAGGTGATATCTTATTGTGGTCTTAATTGTCTTCTCCCTAATTATTAGTGATGTTGAGCATTTTTTATGTTAGTCATTTGTATTTCTTATTTTAAAACATGTCTATTGAGGAGCCAGCAGGTGGTGTGGTGGTTAAGGTGCTGGACTCCCACATAGGAGACCATGATTTGAATCCTCAGCCTGGTGGGTTGGTTTCTCCTGTTCCCTTTCTTTCTCTCTCTGTCTCTCTCGGTCAAATTAAAAAATTAATAATGATAGCAAATTCATTAAATAAATAAACCTTGAAAACAATTAAGTATCTATTGAGAGCCTTTGTACATCCCTTAATTGAATTATTATTTTATTCTTTCTTTCTAGAGTTGAGTTCCTCCTATGGTTGGATATTTATGCCTTATCAGAAGTGAGTGTTCTAGAATTAGACAGTGGTAGTGGTTGTACAACATTATGAACATATTGAAAGCCACCTAAAGAATAAAAGAGTAAATTTTTCATGAGTTATAGCTCAATTAAAAATATGAAAAACATTGAGGGAACTCTTGAGAGCTATTAAGATGTGCTTTAAGATAATATGTGCATCATAAAAGATAAATAAGTCAACAGATAATATAAATCCCAGGTTTAAACCCAACGATGAACTTATTTATTATATAGGTTTTTACATTTTTATTTATTTATTTATTCAAAATTTGCTATAAGGCATGTGTGCTTGCCAGAAAGAGACAGACAGACAGAAGTAAAGGGAGAAAGCACTCCTTCGGGGGATGGCCATATCACAATCTCTTCTTTTTCCATTCTCCTCTGGGAATTTTGGACACACATGCACACATACCCAAAATGGTTTTCTAGCCACTGGGTCAGGGACTCAAACACTGAAGTCAGCCATGTGGGGTCCAGCTACTTTAACCACTGCGGTCGCCAGCTTGCCTTAGTTTTCTTTCTTTCTTTCTTTCTTTCTTTCTTTCTTTCTTTCTTTCTTTCTTTCTTTCTTTCTTTTTTTTTTTTTGTTTCCAGTGGCAGAGTCTGGGGAAGGGACAGAATGTGAAATGTCTGGCTGAGAAGGTGGCAAGAAGCCCAAGAAGCTGATCAAAAAGATGGATGAGGTTGAGAGGGCTTTCAAGCAAAAATAGTAAAAAGAGCAGAGGAAGCTTAAAGAGCTAAGAGCAAAGGCCACGAGGAAGGGCCCCTGGGTCACAGATGGAATTAGGAATCTGGCAAAAAAATATGTGGTTCCAGGATCAGCAGTCGGTGTAATGGCTATGTTGCTGGACTCTCATCTAGTCAACTATGGTTCAAGTCCTGGACCTGGTGGCTTAAACTCATGCAGGGTGCATGTGTAGAAGTGCCTAATATCCTGAGAGGAGAATGGAGGAGAAGGGATTGTGGCATGGACATCCCCCCGGGGGGTGATTTCTCACTTTCCGTCTCTCTCTCTATTTCTGGCGAGCGCACACGCCCTATAACAAAAACCTCCCCCCCAACCCCACCACACACACACACCCACACACACACACACACTCAAAGATGGCTCCTCGTACTCAAGGAGATGGTGACCCTTGAGTTTCTTCCTACAATGTTAAAACATCTGGATTTTCTGCCATAATATCTTTTGCCACCTATACCTAGAATCAAGTGTTGTCTTAGAGTCTGTTGTACATTTAAATTTTCGTGAAAGAAAAGAAAAGGTTAGGAGAGAGGAGAGAGAGAGAGAGAGCAAGCTGCAATTCTCTCCCAGACTCCAACCCTCCCCACCCTTAGCCTGGCTCACGGATGCATGTGACACGTTCAGGTAGACTCAGGCCTTCTAATGTGACTCCAGCATTGTGAAGCAATGCCCTACTGCCTGCATCAATATGGATGGACTTATTTTATACTATCAGTTGATTTTAAAATGAATTTGGGAAGGTAAAATGATTATTCAGTAAATATGCCTGCATAATTGTTTAATAAATTGCCTAAAAATTATGGTGGAGTCTTTTTTTTTTTTTTTAAGAGAGAGATTTTTGCTATAGGGACCATGCACTCGTTGGAGAGACAGAGAGACAGAGAGACAGAAAGTGCAAAATCACCCCCCCGAGGGAGTATGGCCATGCTGCAATTCCTTCTCCTTCATTCTCCTCTCAGGATTTTGGGCATGCACACACTTGGGCCCAGTGTGTTTTAAGCCACCAGGTCTGGGAGTCGAACCACAGTTAACTATGTGGGAGTCCAGCAATGTCACCATTATGCCATCTGCTGGTCCCAAAGGTAGACTCTTAATTCCTGTGATGTATAAAGTAATTTATACATAGATGAAATAAAACCATCAAAATTTTATATTCTGTACTGCAACACATAATCTAAGTCTTTGCCTTTGATCAGTGATGAGAAAGCTTTGTAGAACCAAGGATTATGATGTAGCACCCACCAGCCCTTTCTCTTTTTTGGGGTGTTGATTTGCCATAGGGAAAGTGCATTCATCAGAGAGAGACAGAGAAAAACAGAGAGAGGGAAAGTAAGAAATCACTTTCCAGAATAATGGCCATGCCTCAATCCTTTCTCCTCTGTTCTCCTCTCAGGATTTTGGGCTCACGCACACATGCCTGGTATGATTTTCAAGCTGCTGAGTCTGGACTCGAGCTGTGGTTAGTCATTGGGAGTCCAGTTCAGTGCCATAACCACTATGCCACCTGCTGGCCCCACCCTTCTTCAAATCATCAGTTACTTTCCCTTTTTCAAGTCCTCAGATTTGCTGTGTTTTCTGTGCATTCCCCCATCATCTATCAATCAAATATAATGCCCAAGTTAAAATTCATAAATAGGTGAAATCACTAAAGTCACCTTATGGGTATCTTTTGTACCAATTCTTCTACCCTCCAAGCCGGCTTCATGGAACAGTAAAATCTACCCTATATAACTTCTTTTCAAACTCTTGGGAGACATTGTGTTCTCTTTCTCTTGTATTTTCATAACTCTGGAATGAAAAGTTGCTGTCTTACCTGGAGGAACTATGCATAACAACGCAAGGACTCCCAGGATGGAAAGCGAGACCCTCATAGCTGAATGGGCAAGTTAGAGCCAGTAGCTCAGATGAAGAGAACGTCTTTGTATATTTAGTTCTCAAGAGATGAGTTGCTGTATGATTACTGAACCTTTCAATAGCAAGAACATTTTTGTGTTCCGGTGAGACTGTGTATCAGGAGATAGCATGCAATGGATGTGACTATCAGTCATTTGAAGTACATTTGTCAAATGTTGACAGGGTGTGAGCAGAGATAGGAGAATGCACAGCACTTAAAGAGAGGGCACAGCCGCGGTGAAGGCAGGAGAGAAAACTCCGTTGAAAAATCAGCATTGTTTTATGGTTTCTGGAGAAACCATATAAATTTTTTTCTTTTTAGAGAAATTTTTGCTATAGGGTGTACGTGTTCACCGGAAAGACAGAAAGTGAAAATTCATCCACCCAGGGAGGATGGCCACAATACCTTCTCCTCCAACCTCCTCTCAGAATCTTGGGCACACATGCACAAGCACCTGACATGAATTTTAAGCTGCCAGGTCCAGGACTTGAATCGCAGTCAATTACATGGTAGTCCAGTGAAGTAATCTTTACACCATTTGCTGGTCCCAGAACTGTAAAAGTTAAGTTAATAGAGTAAGGGTATTGATTATATTCTTCTGATACTAGGAGGAGAACACTAGATATAAAAGTGGGCTTATTTATTAATATTTTGGGGAATGTACATTAGCACAATTAAGCAACGACATTAGATTTAAAACCATACACAGGCTCATGAGATATAGAAAAGCTTTCCCTTTGTATTGTCTCTTTGCCCAATCAGCTGAATGCAATCAACCAATTATTTAAAAGCATATGTATTTCTTGAGAGAGATGGAGTGAGTGAGAGAGACCCCTGCTAGGGTCCTGCCATACCACGATCCTACTCCCAGCCTCCTATGATCACATGATCCTGTGGTCCACGAGCATGCCCTATTTGTTCAGGTTTACCTGAGATTTGAATTCTGGGCCTTCCCTTGCACTTGCAATATCGTACAGTGGTGTCCTACCAGCTGTGCCATAGTGGGTGGACCATAGATGAACTAATTTTGATATTTGAAGTTAGTAAACACAAATCATTTGCTTATCACATTATATATAATATGAGAGGAATCATATGAGAAAGAAGAGTGGGCCTTAGAGAAGCTATAAAACACTTGGGACAGCAAATAATATATAAAAAGCAGTGGCAACACAACATGAATATATTCCTGACAAAGTGGGGAAAATTACCCCTTTGACACTAGGAAATGAAAGTTCAAAAAACACCAGAGTGGTTTGGGTGACCTAGAAGTGCTTAAAGAAGGCATATGCAAGTATATCAATTCAGAAACTGCAAAGAACATTCCCATTCCTGATCTTACTTGGTCTTCTTAACTTTCTAGGTGGTTTCACTCCAGGTTAACGTTTCAGTATGAAGAAGTAAGCCGTCTTTCTGCTATGGCTTCCTCTGAATGGCCCTACTTCAGAGTTTTGGTGAGTGGGAGTTGTCACTACATTGTTTTAGTAGGTCCTCCCAGGCTAGTAAGACTTTGAAAATGACATCTCGAATTGAGTCAAAGAATGGGGGATGCATAGAGGTTATTAGAGCTCCTGGGAGAGGCAAGCTTCATGAGCCTAGAAATCCAAAGGGAATCTTCGGATCATTGGAACATGTGCCGATCATTAATAATTGTCACATTTACTCCAATCAGAATGTCCTGGGTTGGGATCTTTAGCATCTTCTGATCATGAATCCAGTATTTACTAATTTTCCTCATGGGCCTTGAAGTTGTTTCTTAACCATGAGGAAAAATGTTGGAAGTACAGTCTACACTGAAAAGCCATAAATTTATGAGAGCCAATAATTGAAATCTTTATGGCACACTAAGGGTACAAATTTTCAGTAACTCTTTGATATTTTTGATGAACATTTGTTGCCCAGCCTGAGAGATTTTGAGCCAGGAGGCAGGCTTGGAGTACTGCCCAGGTAACTCAAGAACATTTTGTGATTCATGGGTCCATGATCAGAGACATCAAAGAAAGGGTCAGAGAAAGGTTTATTGTATTCTGGGGGTAAGTTTCATTGGGCTTCAGTAAAGTAAGCTCAGATGCCTTGAAAGAACATAGAGAAGAAAATTAGATAGCTATCAAGCTATCAAGTACAAGTTGTTACTCTGAAAGAAACAAGTTAATTTACCATCAAAGAGTAAATTTGACCTGGGAATGAATGGTTTTATTGAAAATAGCTCTCAAGAAAGGCACTAGATAGTCAGTAAATTGACAATCAAGTATTTATTGTGTATCTTTCTTCCCTGTACTCAGCAGTACTGAGAACTTTGGAGTCTTGTTGCATTATATATATATTTTTTCTGCTGCAACTTTCTAAATTCATTATTTCCTTACCTTTGTTGTTTAAATAGCCTCAAGTCCTTGTACTTTATTTTATTATCCATTAATTTAAAAAATTGATTTTTGTTTTAAGTATTTTTGTGGGATAATGTATGATTTTTTAAAAAAATACACAAAGTGTGTAATAATCGAATCAAAGATACACACATGCTTGCATGTATTGTTTGTAAATATATTCTCCAAGCCTAAGGTTGTCTCTTCACTGTTAATTGCTCTCTTTTCTAAACAGAAGCATTTTAGTTTGATAAAATTCCATTTGTTCATTTTTGCTTTGTTGCTTGTGGGTCATATAAAAAAAATACTACCTAGACCAATGTTCTGGAACTTTCCTCCTATTTTTTAAAATAGTAATTTTATAGTTTTGGGTCTTACATTTAAGCATTTTATCTATTAAAAAAATTGCTAGAGGGAGTGCACTTGCCAGAGAGAACAGAAAAACAGACTGGACAAGGGAGGGGAGGCAGAGAGACCACCCCCTGATGGAAAAGGGTTATGTTGTAATCCTTCTCCATTTATCCACTATGCCTGTATTTTGGACATGCATGCACATGTGATGAGTGTATTTTTCAAGCTACTAGGGATGGGACTTGAACTGTGATTGGTCGTGTGGGATCTAGCTCCTTTAACAGCTAGGCTATAGGGCCAGACCCCTTTTGTCCATTTAGACTTGATTTTTGTATATGTTATCTGGTTTTTCAGTATGTGTATATCGAGTTTCCCCAACACCATTTATTGAAGGGACTCTTCTTTTGCCACTGTGTGTTCTTGGTATCTTTGTCAAAACCGAATTGTGAATGTATGGGTTGTTCCTAGGCTCTCAATTCTGTTACATTGGTCAGTGTATTCATTTTCATGACAGTATCATCCTATTTGGATTGCTACAGCTGTGTAATATTCTTTGAAAACAGGTAGTGTGATGTCTTTGTTTTTTTTTTTTTTTTTTCTTTTTGCTTAAAACCGTTTAGGTTTTTGGGGTCTATTGTGGTTCCTTTCAAATGTTAGGATTTTCTTTTTCTGTGAAAAATATCATTGGAACTTGGATGCAATTTGCATAGAATCTGTAATCATCTTGGTTTCTATGAATTTTTTAACAATATTAATTCCTCCAACACATGAACATGATGTATCTTTCTATTTATTTGCTTCTCCTTCTGTTCTTTTTTTTCATCACTGTGTTATAGCTTTTAGTGTACAGCTCTGCTATGGTTTGAATGTGTCCCACCCAAATTCATGTGTTGAAATTTGGTTGTGACAAGATTAAGAGGGTGAAAACTTAGACTATGTGTTAAAAGGTGAGGTTTTTGGGAAGTGATAAGGATTAGATCCGATCTTCATGATGGAGGCCCCATGATTAAATCCTGGTGGGTTTGTAAGGATAGGAAATGAGACAGAAACATGGGGATGGAGACTTGGATACATGTACATTCCTTCTATGAGTTGTCCCATGGCACTCTGAGACTCTGCAGAGAGTTCTCTCTAACAAGAAGACCCTCGTCAGATGCAGCCCCTTGACCTTCATAACCATGAGCCAAATATACCTACATTCACTATAAATTACCCAGTATGGTAATGTTAGTGACATAAAAGTGGACTAAAATAAGATCTTTTACATCCTTGATTACATTTACTTCTAGATATTTTATTCTTTTTGATGCTATTTTAAATGATATTATTTTCTTATGATCTCTTTTATACAGTATGCTATGAATGTGTATAAGTATTACTTATTTTTGCATGTTGGTTTTGTATCTTGTAACTTTACTACATTTGCTTGTTAGTTTTAATAGTTTTTTTGTAGCACCTATAGAATTTTCTGTATATAAGAGCATGCCATCTACAAAGAGAGATAATTTAACTTCTGATTTGGGTGACATTTCTTTCTTTCTTTTGTGGAATTGATCTGGATATCACTTCCACTACTATAGTGAGTAGAAGTGGCGAGAAGAATCCTTTCTGTATTTCTGTTTTTAGAGGAAATGTTTTCAACTTTCCACTCTTGAGTATGTTAGCTGTAAGCTTTCCATGTCTTTATTATCTTAAAATACATTCCTTCTGGATGTAATTTCTGGTAAATTTTTATCATGAAAGAATATTGAATCATGTCAAAAGATTTTTATGTATCTCTCAAGATAATAACTTTTTTGTCTTTCATTTTGCTAATGTGATAACACTTCTTTATTTGGATATGTTAACCCATCCTTAGAGATAAAAGTAACTTGATCATGGCAATGATCCTTTTAAGGTACTGCTGACCTCTGTTTGTTAATATTTTGCTGAGGATTTTTGCATGTCTGTTCATCAGGGATATTGGCCTGTAATCTTTCTTATAGTGTGCCTTTCTGGGTTCAGTATTAAGAACATACTGACCTCATAAAATGAGTTTGGAAGTATCCCCTCCTCTTGCATTTTTTAAAAGGGTTTGAGGAGGGTTGGTATTGGTTTTTCCTTTTTTTTTTTTTTTCAGAATTTAGCATTCTTGATACTGTTCTTAACATCTTACAGGTAATCTTCATTTTTTGGGGGGGAGAAGTTTTTGCTATAGGGCACGTGTGCTCGCCAGACAGAGAGAGACAGAGAGACAGAAAGTGAGAAATCACTCCCCAGAGGGGATGGCCACACTGCAATCCCTTCTCCGCCATACTCCTCTCAGGATCTTGGGGACGCATGCACACGCGCCCGGTGTGAGTTTAAGCCAGCAGGTCCAGGACTTGAACCACGGTCGGCTACGTGGGAGTCCAGCGACATTGCCATTATGCTAACTGCTGGTCCCAATCTTCATTTATTTTTATCATTTTTCTTTTTTTATGCCCTGAGTGTATATTTTCAAATAACTTCTCTTTGTCACTCATATGCCTGCCTGGTATGTTTCAGACTGACCGGGCCAGGAATTTGAACTGTGTTCACTAGGTGGAGCCTGGCTTCCCTTGAGCATTACTGTAGTGCCATGGACCCAGCCCTTCCTCTCTGTTTGGTTCTTATATTGTTTATTATTATGTTCCTGAAATTATGTTTGCTGTATATTTTTGAAGTTCACTGAGATTCTTTAAAACAGTTATTTTGAATTCATAATCAGGCAGTTTGTATATCTCCTATTTTTATTGAAAATATCTTAATGCTGTCATTTAATTATTGACATGTCATGTTGGCACAAAATTTGGAATGATAAGAGGAATACATTGTGAATCTTAGGCTATAGCTATAATATACTCTGTGGATTTGAATTAGTATTCTGAGACCAATTCTAAGCTATTCATGTGTGGTTCTAAGAAGATAATTAGAAAGAAATTGCTTATTATTAAAGAATCGGATTCATAAAGATGGGATTATAGTTATTCTATTAGACCTCTAATGTCTCCCACTCTGTCCTGGGTGGTTGATCATGGGCTTTGTGATTAAAAAACCAAAAAACCTGATTTTTAAAAATTGGACAATTCAGCCATGTTCTAGAAAATTCCTTTCCTTTTTGTGAAACTCATATTATGTAATATTTCTGGTGTCTTTCTCATCCTTTTTCTTAACCCCAGAAAGAGGAATTATCTGATTGTGAATCTGGAAAAACTAACTGGGTGTGTTGATCTCTCAGCCTCTCAGTTCTCCAGCTCTTCCTGGTGAGCTTACTTGTAGAAAGCAGGTCTCCAGCTTCTCCAGGAGCAAGGTGCAGCAGAGGGGAGACATGAGACAGATCAGTGTTGGTATGGCTAGGTGGGTAGTATAACTAATTTTCAGGTGCAATATTAGCAAGGACACACAATTAATAGACTAACCAGAGTTTTCCACATATGTTCCCATGAGTAATGAAAATGATATATTTTTCAGAACTAGTTGAGGAAGTAGGTTAATATTCCACTTCAGATAATCAAATACTACCTACTGCTATTTCCTACTCTTATTTTACACAATAAAATGATCTTTATTTATAAACTCATATTTTATATGAGTATCTTTAGGGTATGAAAAATGTTCATTATTTCATACTTGCAGTGCAAGTTGGTTAGCATGTGCAACAAGGATTAATGTCCCAGGGTTCAGTACAATTAGAATAACATTTATTTCCAATCCAGGGAGAAATGTAAATTGGGTTAAACAGGAGTCTGTGAAACTTATCCATTCATTCTGAAGTTCAAAGAACTTTCAGTCTGCTCCTATCTAAGGAGATTTTCCTTTGGGAATCGGCGTTGGATACGGTTCAAGTATCCACCATTTCCTACAACACTTTTTTTCTTCGTTACATACACCGATGGTGTCATCTGTGGAGGTGCAGCCTCCGTCTTTGCACACCCCCTTCAAAAGAATACACTGTTTTTTCCCTGGAATAACACCGGTCTGTCCTGCATGAGAAGAGAGTTGACAATGTAATTTATTTGCCATCAAGTTATTGTAAATGTGCATAAAACAATAAACTCCCAGAAGAATGGCTTTGGGATGAGAGGCAATAGTAACCAGATGAAAGATTCAGACACTTAGACAAAAAAATGATGCTTTTTTTTAGTTTTGACATGGGGTGGGTGTCACCATGCCCAAATTGTGCTTTTTTTTTTTTTTTTTTTTTGCGAAGGGGCCTAAGAGTGTGGGGGAGCAGGCTGATTTCTAAAAGCCTTTAGAGATTGTCTTTACCTTTGGAAATGCATGGGCTTGTTTGTTTTTGTCACCATGGCTAGGGAGGTGTCTTTGGTATTTAGTAGATAAGGCACAACCTTGTTAAATTTCCCATCTAAATAATTGTCCTGCATCAAATATCAACAATGCCTACAAGAAGAAGCACTGTTTCAGAGGAAGTAGCCATTGTTCCAGCTTCCCATCCATGCTTGTATCATTCTAATCACACGGTGTATGCTCATATCTCCTCCTCCTTTTATAGAAAGGTTATCAATCCTTCAGATTCCATCTAAATAATTCCCCCATTTCATAACTATGTTAGAAATAGCCTTTCTATATTGTGTTTGTGGTAGAGGGTGGGTGTGAGGTACAAAGGGGAGAAACATTTAACAAAAAAAATCCTCAACCATTTCCTATCTTTCCTAGAATATCATGGATTATTTTCTGGAAATGTATATTTAAGTTGTGATTATTTAAAAATCATTAGATCCTACATTGATAAACTGATATTTCAGATTATATAATTTCTTTTCTTTTTTTAAATTTTGGTTACAGGGGTGTGTGTGCTCAACAGAGAGATACAGAAAGTGGGAAATAAAGAGAGAGAAAGTGAGAACCTCCTCCCGCCCAGGGGGTTGGCCATGCTGCATTATCTTCTTCTCCCTTCTCTAGAGATTCTGGGCATGTATGCACACAGGCCTGATGTATTTTCTAAGCTGTCAGGTCTGGGACACAAACTGTGCATGTGAGATCCAGCCACCTTCACCACCAGGCCACCTGTAATCTCTATGGAGAAATTTTCTTCATGAAAATAGATTTTTTTAAAACCTGATTGGAGTTTTTGTATATATCTTTAACAAAGCTATTTATGATCCAACCACCCAATTTTCCTCAAAAGAAATTTTGTAAAATAAAAGTTATATAGTATTTAAAAAGTTTCTAAGATTATTAGATAGATTTCAGACAACTGATCAATTGCAGACTCCCAATGGTTTCAGCAAGGTTCAAAATCGAGATTGTGAGGTTATGTGGTATCATTAAATTGCATTGATAGCTTGGAAATGGACTATTTAGTACTAAGAGACTGCACACAATTGATTAACAAAAAAAATTTCTTCTCTTTGAGCCAAAGAGTGCTCTGAGATTCATTTCATTATGCATCCAAGAACATTTCAATATGTGAAAGTGAGGCATTTTGATCTTTCCATGTGTCCTCTTTTTTTTTTTTTTAATAGAGATTTTTGCTATAGGGTGATACGGCATGTGCACTTTCTGGAGAGATAGAGAGACAGAAAGCAAGAAATCAGCCCCAAGTGTTGTGGCCAAGTCACAATTCCTTCTCCTACATTCTCCTGTTGGGATGTTGGGCATGCATACACACGTGCCCGGTGTGAGTTTTAAGTTGCCAGATCCAAGACTCGAACCACGATCGACTACGTAGGAGTGGAGCAACATAACCATTACACCATCTGTTGGTCCCTCCATGTTTCCTTAATGTCCTTTGTTCACATGAGACCTGGGCATTTGAAAGGAATTCACTCCTGTGCCGAATCATAGAACTTTGCTTAATCCAGCCTTCTAAAATAACTGATCGGGGAAGAACAAGAGGTTGACCTTGTCTGCTCTGGAGAAGAGATATCATGACTTGAAAGGGAGGTCTCAGGAGGATTCTTGTCCTATTTTGGGGGAGACTAACTCTGCTTCCAGTTTAAAATATTTTCTTGTTCTTCCTACCTACATTTTTTATTGTGTTAAGAACACTCAATATAAAATCTACCCTTGTAACACATTTTTAATATAGATATAGACACGATGTTGTACAGCTGATTTCTAGAACTTATTCATCTTGTATAGCCAAAACTCTATCTGTCTTGACCAGCAACTCCCCATTATCTCCTTTTCTCAGATCTTGGCAACTACTATTTTAGTATCGGTTTCTATGAATTTGAGTATTTTAATTATCTAAGTGGAATAATGCAGTATTTATCTTCTTTGACTGGGTTATTTCATTTAGCATGTTGTCCTCTAGGTTCACCATGTTGTTGTATATGGAAGAAAATCTCCTTAGTTTCCTCAAAATTTTATTAGGAGATTTTCTGGCAAAAAAAACTGACAGAAATCAGGGTTACCATTTTTATATGCCTAGCACCTGTAGATTGATGTAAACAACACTGACCCAGATAAATGATACCCATTTCTAGTTTCAATGTTACAATGACCTGTGCGACCTTAGTAAAATGATATTCTTTATGTGGACATAGCTTCTCTTAAAGTGAGATAAGTGACCATAAAAGTCTCTTTTAATTTTTTAAAAAAATCATTCTTTTTTTTTTAAAAGAATTATTTATTTTATTTTTTATTTATTCATTCATTTATGTTTTAATTTGACCAGAGAGAGACAGAGGGTGAGAGTGAGAGAGAGAGGAAGTGAGAAAGCAAGCCACCAGATTCAGGACTCGAACCCCAGTCAGTCGGCCATGTGGGAATGTCCAGTGCCTTAACCACCATGCCACCCGCTGGTCCCAGTCTCTTCTAATTTTAAATCATTAACAAACAAATTCATATTAGATGTTACTATAGTGTTTCTCACCACAACTGTGTCTTCTGACTGAAGCTGAGAACCAAATGAAAATTATGTAAACTCCTTCAGGAAGAGACAACTATGTCAGGAAGATCTTAAAATGTTTGTAGATTAGACACGGATCACAGAAGTGAGTAGCTTTGATTATATTTAAAAGGATCTCAGATTAATCAAGGAAGAGATTTATGTTTAATGATCACAGACATTATTTTGCAGGATACAACATCCTAACATTAATAGCAGAGGCAAGAATGTTATCAGTTCTTATAAAGATCTGGCAAAACAGTCTGGAGACTATATTTCTTTTTTACTTTTATTCTACATCTTATTATTTAACTTCTAAACTATGGACCCTAGGATGTAACTCAGATTCTTAAAGTGGTTTCTACATTATTTACTTTATGTTTAAAATTTTTCCATTAAAGCTTCATTTCACCGTTTATAGTTTTTACAGATCCCCCTGCTCCGACATTACCATTGATATTTTATAACTTATGTATTCCTTTCTTGTTAAGTTGTTTAATTTATTTTTAATTTGAAAGAAGGGGTATGTACTCCTTAGAAAGACTGAGAAAGAGCAAAAGAGAGAAACTCCCACAAGGGGCATGGTCATACTAGAGTCCTTTCTTCTATATTTATCCTTCTTTTCAGAATTTTGAGCATGTGTGCACATATACCCAGTGGTTTTTTTAAATTAAATTATTAATTTAATTTTATTATGAATAATAATTTTTTTAAAAAGAGAATTGTGCTATAGGGCACATGCGCTTGCTAGAGAGACAGAGACAGAAAGCGAGGAAATCACCCTCCGGAGGAACGGCCACACCACCATCCCGTCCTCATCCTTCTTTTGGGATTTTGGGCATGCACAAACATGTGCTTGATGTGAGTTTCAAGGATCTGGGTCTAGGACTTGAACTGTGGTTGGTTATGTGGCAGTCCGACTATGTAACCATTACACCATCTGCTTGGTTCCTATTGTTATTTTTAAATTTGACCAGAGAGAGACAGAGAGAAAGGGAAAGCAAGAAAGCAAGCTGCCAGTTTCGGGACTCAAGCGGTGGTTGGCCATGTGGCAGTTCAGTGCCCCAACCACCATGCCAACTGCCAGTCCAGCCCAGTGTGTCTTTAAAGCCACCAGGTCTGGGACTTAAACAGAGCAATTGGCCATGTGGGATCTAGTTACCTACCCCACCTTGCCACCAGCTGACTTGAGCTCTGTCTTATCTGCTTAATTTCTATCCTTCACAAATATTCCTCCCAATAGATTACATATCTTCCCTTCATTAACTAAGTATGAACAATGACCGCCATCTTCATTCTCCTTTTTGGAGAGTGGCCCTGACTATAACTATTTGCTTGATATACCAAATCTTAAGTAACATGTTAAAGCCTCTACCTGCCTAACTCTCTATTTGGGCCCCATTTTCTAATCATGACATCCTTGGATTCTATTTTCAGTTGATGGAACTCTTTGTCCTGCTTCTCAATTTGTCCTCATTAATTCTGAAGAAGATGATTAGGTTGGAGTTCTGAATCCCCAAGACAGTGCATTTGAGTCTGAGTCAGGATGACCATGGTATAACTGAGCATCCAGTAGGTCTCCTAAAAATCCTACCTCTACAGTCATTCAACACCTTACCTTTTGGCATTATAGTCACAAAGATGAGAAGAACAGAAAGAAGGGAATGGAATCTCATGGTTGAGTGCCCAGTAGAGAGGTAAATAATCAGAGATAGTGTAATACGGGGCCTTTTATTTGTTTTTGGGGGCTTGAGGTTCCTCTTGGTCAGTGAAGCTTAACAAGTAAAGAAATAAAACAGCTTCCGTTGGAAAATTTCCAAACCTTGGAATCTCTAAATTTGGTGACAAATTAACCTAATTATAGAAAGCCAGATACCTAACTTTCTTTTTCCTATGGGCTTTCAATTTCACCTGAGGTCAGTAACTTTAGCCAATCTTCATTTGAAGGAGACAAGAAGTTAAATCATGTTACTATATAAAATCCTTGTTACTAAAAGTCCTCTACTTTGCAAGGGAAATCTTCCATTTCTCATGAGAGAAATTTTCCACAGTAAGAATAAGAGAATTGTCTCAGATCTGTTATGAAAGAGAAACTATTTTTGTTGTTGTTAAGTTGTTAATTTCTGAAAAGAGAGGACAGTGTTATATGAATAAAGTGTTTTTAATAGCATCTGGGGCTGGCTATGTGGCTTAGTGCATAAAGGAGCTGGATGCCACATGGCCAACCCTGGTTTGAATTCTGAACCTGATGCTTGAACAACATGCATGTAGGGACCAGCAGTTAGTGTAATGGCTATGTTGCTGAACTCCCATGGAGTCGACCGTGGTTCAAGTCCTGGACCTGGTGGCTTAAACTCACGCCAGGCACGTGTGTGCGCATGCCCAAGATCCCAAGAGGAGAATGGAGGAGAAGGGATTGTCGCATGGCCATCCCCAATGGGGGGTGATTTCTTGCTTTCTGTCTCTCTCTGTCTTTCTGGCAAGTGCACATGCCCTATAGCAAAAACCTCTTAAAAAAAAAAAAAGGAAATTTACACTAGTCAAATTTTAAAACCATAAAAAAATACTGGAAATACTGACAAAAAAAAGGACAATTTATAGTGGAATAATAATTAAGCTGATGATTATGGCAAAAGTGGGAAAGCCAAAAATTGAGTGAGGCAGTATCATCCAAAATTGAGAGAACATAATTATTCTTTCTTTCTTTCTTTCTTTCTTTCTTTCTTTCTTTCTTTCTTTCTTTCTTTCTTTCTTTCTTTCTTTCTTTCTTTCTTTCTTTCT